TATTTAAGTATTAGCGGTACTGCTACCACTACAAATTGGAACCTAATTATTTTTCCCCTTGCTAGTGGTATCAGCACAGTCTTCAAGAACGTGTTAGATTTTATTCAGTGAAAGAAGCCAAAACCTTGCAGCATATTTTTTTCTTTTGTGTTACATCTAAAGTTACATTTGATCAACTGTATTGGAAGAAATGGATTTCTATCTATGGCAAATACTTGTTATTTTATTATACATGGAATAATAAAATAATAAAAGAGCTCTACATGGAAAAGTTCTTTCCAGCTCCACAAAAACAGCTCAAAATGACAGCAATTTGGTTTCATTATTTTTCTTTTTTGTAATTAGGCTGTGTACAACAGAAAGGCAACATTTTCAAAGATGCTTTTATAGATGTAATATGTAATATAATTGTTTACATAGCTTCTGCATCCACACTTATTTATATAAGCATTTGGTTTTCTGTTTGTGCATACCTCTGAATCATGGCCATAATTTATTTTAGAATATTTGCTTCTATTTCCTAATTAATTTAAAGTGAATAGAATCCAGTCATTAGTTTAGCCTGCTTTCTCTAATAAGTAAGGATTACAGCGCAGAATTTCAGTTCTTTTTCCTTCACTTAATGTATTTCTAATGCACTTTTTTACTAAACAGGCCCGTGAAGCAGGCAGAGCCTAAAAATATCATATAGGAACCATTAAAATATGTTCTGTATAAAAACACTGAAAGAAAAAAAGCGCATGCAATTAATGTCCATATACTTGTTGAAATAAAACTATTTTTATAAGATTCCTGAAAAAGCATTTTCCCTAAGAAGAGTCAGATGAGCAAACATACCAATACTCAAGATATGAGACTATCATCTTCTGTTTGTATCTACATAGTACTCAGCAATTCAGGAAAATTACTTAACTTTTTCACAAGCAGATTAGCAAATCCCTCCTTTAATGGATCTCCCCTCCTCCATATTTTCTATTAAATTAAATATTTTTAACCCATTAAACAGCAGCTCGAAATAATGGGTTGGCATCCAGGATTTGCCTTCTGTGGATGGAAGGGCTCTAGACATTCTTAACAGAGTAATCCTCCCTTCCACTACAAGCCCATGGCTGACTCCACTCAGCAGGGTTCACTTGCAAAAAAAAATTTTCTGGCCACTCTTGAAGAGTGACTCTATAGCCCTTTTTCAACACCCCAGGATGAAAACCAGTTTCAAACAGAACAAGCCACCATGGATATGAAGTACCTAAAAACAAGCCATGGTTTATCAGGGTAGCTACTTTGTGAAATAAGCCTCTGTACTGAAACAGTACAGTGGTTGGATGTCATGACAACCCACCATAGCTGATCATTCATGGTGGGCTGTCATGTTAGCTTAACCAGGTTAGAGACCCCGGCGAATGTGGTGAACTGAGATGTTGGGAGGAAGGCAGTTTTTGAATCCAGCCCACAGCAACTGAAGCGAATGTACCAAAGCTCATTGTGGTGACCGTAAAGCTAAATATGAGAATGATTAATAAGTTACAAGCATCAGCTTCTCCGTGCTTGCGTTGCACAGTACAAGCTGAGCTTCTTCCAGGAAGGCTTGTGCTGGCAGGACTGAAGCCTCAAACACAGGTTTCTAGGGTCAAAAGTTTAACTTTGACAAAACAGTTTCAGGCTAAGGAAAACTTACAATCATCTTATTGTTCACCTCTGCTTACCAAGCAGAGATGATGTTAATTTTAATATTTCATCATGATTCTGAGGCGCTCAATTCAGTTTCTCTCTCTCGACTTTTTCTCAGGTCATAAACAGGCTTATTTTATTTGCTGCTTTTCCCTAGCCCTTGGTCAGGGGGAGTGAACCTGAAGATCCACGTGACACATAATTATTATATGGGTGGGTGGGTGGGGGTGCTTCTAAGAAGTTTCCTGTCTAGTTAAAAATGTAGAATGTGAATACAACATGTATTTGCATGCACACACAGACCTTGGATTCAACAGGGGACCAAGACTGGCTGCAGCACACTCTATAGGCAAACCTATATGCTCTGTTTTGTAGCATATGAAACAGCCTTCAGACTTCACCTAGGAGACTTTTAGAGGGGGAGAAGCCATAGCCCAGTGGTAGAGCACATCCTATATAAGCAGAAGCTCCCTGGTCCACTCCCTGGGACTTCCAGTTCTAGGATCAGGTAGCAGACAGTAAGAAAGTCCTTTGCTTATTTTTTTATTTATATCCCACCTTTCTCCCATTGTGGAACTCAAGATAGCTACATGCAGTTCCCAGGTGGTCTCCCCTCCAAGCTCAGGCTGGTTCCAGACCTGCTTAGCTTCATGAGGGCAGATGCCATGTGTGCCTTCAGACCATATTCTGGGCCATACTTTGCTTGAGACCCTGCAGAGATGCTGCGAAATCAGTGTACACAACAGTGGACAAATAGTCTGATCTGGCATAAGGTAATAAGGCAGTAAGCCATTTTCACCTAAGAAGGAATAATTTGCAAGTGTAATCTTGTAAAGTAATGGAAGTACATACACATTTGATTTATGTTTGAGTCATCATATACAGTAGTTAGTAGGAGTTAATCCAGCACCTCTTCTCATACCACACACAAAGACACACTGCAGCACTGAGAAAACAAATACACCCGTAAAGTCATTATTCATGCACAACTGTCCATGTACTGTTCTCCCTCGTCTTGCTACATGCTTTCTTTCTTTAGATATTTCATACTCAGTGTATTTTATAAATTGTCATTCCACAAACCTCAGGTTTTATTTCAAATGGGAGTGAAATGGCAAAGGTTCCTGCCCCTTGCTCTGCTTGGTGTTTAATCAGCTGTTTTAGATCTGGTTTTATATGCCACTGTTTTAAATTCTTTTATTTTTTATCACAATTGTATATCACTTTAATTGTTGCTGATTGTTAACCTGTAAGCCACTTTGTTTGTCCATGTATAGAAAAGGAGTGTAAAAAGAATAACTCAAAATCAAAATTGATTTTTAGTCATTGTTCCTCACATATAAGCACTGAGCAGCAGTGCCTTGTATCTCCACTTGATTTGACCAGTCAGACTTTACATTTGTCCTTTGATGGCAGGGCAAGATATGAGAAAGAGACCAGTGGATTTATCAGCAAGTGTACCCAGCAGCCTTATCCCGTACTCTCATGTATGTGAAGAGAAACTAACACTCTGTCACTCGTTTTGGCCACCTGAATAGCATGAGCCATACCAAATTACAGTAGTACCTTGGCTCACAAACTTAATCCATTCCAGGACTCTGGTCATGACCCAAATTGGTTGTGAGTCAAGTTAAATGTCCCCATAAGGTTCAATGTAAATAAGGTTAATCCATTCTGTAACTATTTTTTTTAATCAGAAAAATGTGAAGCAAAGTGACAAAGAGCAACAAAGATCACAGCCACCTCACCCACCCCCACCCTGACCACAAGTGCAGCCATCTCCCTGCCCACCCCCCCAGCATGACCACAATCAGGCCCATCATCCCTGCACACACCCATCATCCTGGTGTGCTTGGGGTAGGGAGAGACGGGCACGAATGCAAGTGCACTGGGGGGCGAGAGACGGGCGCAAACACAGATACATGGGGGGGAGAGACGGGAGTGAGCACAGGTGTGCTGGTGGGCAAGAGACGGGCGTGAACGCAGGCATGCTTGGGGGAGAGACAGGCACGATCGTGCTGGGGGGAAGGGAGATAGCCGAGATCGTGGTTGCGCTTGTACAGGAAAGATGGGTGCAATCACGGGCGTGCTCGTGCAGGAAAGACGGGCGTGATCTCAGCCATCTCCCCGCTGAGATGACTGCAGGAAAGATGGCTGCGATCACGGTTGCCACCTAATGCAGAGTTCGCGACTTGAGTAAAAATGTTTATGGAATTTTTGTTCACAACCTGATTTGGTTGTGAACTGAGGCGTTCGTGAGCCGAAGTACCACTGTAGTAGTTTCTGTAAAAAGAGGAGAATCAAGTGTGTTGTGATACTTTTAAGGACAGATTTAGTATTCAATATTATAATTACTTGGCAGGTATATTTAATCACATGAAAGAACTGTAAATAATGGGAACAAAAAGGGCATAAAATGCAAGTTGTGGCATTATTTTTTATTTTATCGTAAGCCACTTTGATTTTTTAAAGAAAAGCAGCCTATAAATGTTAAACTAAATAATTGATCTGTGATATTTCTATGTAAGCCCCAAATTACACATGATATGAATGGAGTTATATGTTCATAACACTGTCACTGTGACAGCACTGTTGTTCTAGATATGCTGTACTAATGTAGCACCTGTAGTAGGAAAAAGATAGTTCCAATTAAGCTCATACTTAATAGGATCAATTTTGCAGATAAGCTTTAATTAAGCAATTGGACAGTAGAGCCTCCTTTTGAAATGTATTTGTAGAAACATGGTGATTTTGAAGTTAGCCCCAATAATACTCTGGAAAAGTCTTTAGGAGTCACAAAATAATCTGTTCCTTAGCTGTAGCAGGCAAAACAGCTACCCCTTGGGGAGAAGTTTAGTCTGTAGCAGCTATCTATGTAAGCTAGCAAAGATAAAAACTGGGCTTAAAGATGATATTTTAAGTATACATAAACTAGTAAAACACAACATAAGAGAAACAGTTTTAATCTGCACACGGCTCTGTCACGTGGTTATGCAAGAGTCCATCTGATGTGGCTGGACAGTCAAGGACAACTGCATTCTTGTTTTTATGAATTACCCACTGCAAGTATAATTGCAAAAACAAACACATTACCTCACTGATCACAAGACTGGTAGCAGTGTGTGACTGGACAGGAAATAAACACCTGCCGAAGACAAATCAGCTGGACTGATGCAAGACATAGATTTGAACCTTGAAATCCAAGGTAGACACCAAACTCTCTGTTCCTTTTTCTAATTGCCACTTTACAGGTCTTGTTTTCATGTATTACAGAAGACTATCCATATTTCATTTTTCAGTAGATGAAAATAAACCATTTTATAAAAAAGAAATAAAATAGAAGACTTTTTTATTATTGTGAAGAGGGTAGACATTTTGCCACTTTTCCTTTTCCCAGTTTACAGTGAAAAAAGTGGGTGGATGGGAAACACCCATGGGCTATTAGCTGCTTTTCTGGTGCTTTTGCACGAAGGCAAGGTACTCTTGAACATCTTCTGGAGAACCAACAATAAAAGGGACTCTTTGATGGATGGACTCTGGCTTCACATCCAGCACAGCCTCTGTCCCAGTGGTAGCTACTCCTCCTGCCTGTTCAATGATGAAAGCCATGGGGTTGCACTCATACAGGAGTCTGAGCTAAAACAAAGAAGAAAGAATATAGACATCCTTGCATATATTATCTACCAACAGCCCAGTCCGTAACAAAGTCCTTTGCTTCTGCCTTTAAAAACTCTAGTGAAAATAGAATGCCAGCGTAAAGGTGTTTCTGTGTGGAAAGGGAAAGTTTAACCTCTATTCCTGGAACATTATGATTCTTTTTCAAATCAGGGCAACGTCCGCTTACACAGGAATATAAAAGTATCAGCAGCAGTGAGACCTTGGGCCACCAGAATTGTGCAATGGTGCAGTTCTGGAGAACAAACTAAAACTTCAGCTCAGCACAAAGGTCATGGTGAGAGGACACAGCAAAGGCAAAGAAACACTTATGGCTACATCTCTGCTTACTAGTGTGGGCAGAAGTTGCAGTAGGAAGTGACAGCAGCTTCACCCAAGAGTATGGATAGTACACAAACATTTCCTTTATATTTTATACAGAAGTCCAGTGATTGGTGGTGCTAGCATTTCTCCATCTGGGAGACCTCTTATTTTGGTATCTCACAATTTTTGATAGCCCAATTAATCCATTGCAGCAAAAAGAACTATGAATCTTGAGGTAATTTTAAGACAGAGCCAGTTATTATGGCATAAATGTACAGGCTAGGCTTAAGGAAACATGCCTCTGTTAAATCTGTTCTGTCCATGTTTTGCAAACTCTCAGGCATCTTTCATTATTTTGTCCATTTGTTCACAGAATCAGACTTTTTTCTTTTAAGGGATGTGAAATTATTTTATTCCACTTATGCAAATGTACATTATTTGACTAATATGCATTAACCCAAGTGCAAATTTGTACAACTCCTGCATAAGTAAAAAAGAAAGTCTGCAAGTGTGTGCAACTAGGAAAAAGCTGGTCCATTGTAGAATGCACAGGTTAGATTAACAGAAATCTAAACTCATCTGGATCTATTGCAGATTTCTTTGCTATTCCCAGTTAAATACCAGTTTGTCTAATGCATCTGATGAAGTGGATTCTAAACTATGAAAGCCATAATAAGGGTATCAGACTCTTCAGGAATACAACACTCTTGGTTGTTTATGCATAACAACCTTAAGATGGGAAAAACTTACCTTTCCTTTTGGGCTCTTCTGGTTGGATGGATACAAGAAGATCCCACCATAGACCAGGGTACGGTGAACATCAGCTACCATGGAGCCTACATATCTAGCCCCATAGGGAGAAGTGCCTTCCTGTGAAACAGAGAGGTCAATCTATTAATGCTCATTCACTGCAGTGCACAACCTGAAGCTACATTGAGAAAAGGCTCACCAGAAAAAACAATAAAACATTTCCCTTAGTCTGTACCTAGAGCAATATACACTCATGAAAGGGCTACTTCCTACCTGTGGCAATGATTTGGATTTCAATGGCATAAAGAACAAATCAATGAAGATGGTGACCCTTGTCCAAATTGTTTTTAAGGCTTTACGTAAATGCTCTCAGGTGACAGTGGTAAATGTCACTACTGCATTAACCACTTAACCTCATCCAGCTTGGCTATTGTGGGACAGTATCAGAGCCCTATAACAGAAGTACACTTCCAGAATGTGCTTTCCAAATGTTTTGGCCTTCAACTCCCACAAGCCTCAGTCAGCATGGCCAACTGTCTGGCGTAGTGGGAGTTGTGATCCAGACTATCTGAAGGGCACCAGATTGATTATTCCTGCCCTACAGGCTGTAGCAGGTAAAGAAAGAAAATGACCACGGGATCAGAAGAGGACTAAAACAGAAAGCAGCCCAGCACTCATCTTTCTCTTTGTGAACTTCCATAAAAAGCTTAACTTTTCCTTTTATCATTTGTCATATGCCAACCCACACTTAGAACTGCAAGTTAGCATCACGCACATTTCCCTTTCAGATGACAAAGGGACACTGCATGGCAGTTTGGAATGAGTCAGTTTTCCTTTCTTTAAGAAAAGCTAGTTATATGAAAGCTGCTATGATAATTTGTTTGCTTCTTCCTGGAATCTTAGAAGGGCACAATGAGATGCTTCTCCACAGATTATTTCCAAAGTATTCTCACTGCAAGTATCTCCACATTTTATGGGATCAAGTCTGGAATGTGAGTATGCTTGGTGGCTGCATCCATTAATCATTATTCTTGGGTTCTTAGCATGATGATCATACAGATTTCTCTTGTCGGGTGTGTGTGTGTGTGTGTGTGTGTGTGTGTGTAGTTTCTTCATTAAATTCATTTTTGTTCCACTACCTTGCACCTGTTTTCTAAGAAGGAAGTACCAACCACATAACTCGAAAAAAAAAACAATCCTTCAGTGTAATTATCCGTTTCATTTCCTTCCATGTTTTCAACAAATCAAGCTCTGATAACACAACAGTATGGAGACATTCAGCTGATACAAGAGACTTTAGGTTATTTGAAGCTCGGGTTTAAAATTTCATTTCCTTTAATAACTTCTTACATAGAAAATGCTCTTTTTTCCACAAAACTTCTCTAGCAGCATGTGGAAACCACCTCTACAGCAGGGGTGAAAGTGGAAATGCTTACAATAGCAGAAAAAACAGCCAGGCACATAAAAATAACATGATTTAAGTCATGAATCAGTCAGTTCACTGCCATTAACATTTTAAATAGTCCCTGTCTTTAGCTACAGATCAGCTGCTTACATTGAAGTGTGGCTCCCCTCATCAAATCTGACACAGAGAGGAGGAAGAAAATACATTCTCCCTATGATCTGCATGAGGTGGAACTTTCAAAAGGTCCAGGTTCCAGTTTTACCTTGGTATAAGCTTCAGCAAATAATTAGGAGAAGTTTTTCAAACTGTGATGGATGAAGCTAGTGTCTGAGCAATGTCAACAGGAAGTCTTCTAATTACCACAATGTTGAAGATGGTTGTGGAATATGAAGGATTGCCACCTTGCTTCCTGTCAGGCAATCTAAAGTTGTGGGGCAGTGATGCAGAGGAGTTTTATCTATAATTGTTGCATATTTATTGCAATTATTAAATGCAGTCTTTGTGGGACAGCTAGTAACCCTGTGTAGGCAATCTTGATACTTTAATATTTTAGTATTCTAAAGAAATAATGTTTCCTAATGTAGCCAAGGTAATCTTAAACTGGTTGTACTGGGTAGACTTCCCCAACCTGGAGCCCTGCAGAATTTTAGTACTTAAAGTTCCATCAGCCCTAGACAGCTTGACCAGCGGTAAGGAATGCTGAGAATTGTAATCGAAAACATTTGAAGAGCATCTGGATAAGGAATGTTGGTATAGGGTGTACACACTTCTCTGGTTTTACTGAATTGCAGGACATCAACACTGTTAGTTGTATTGATTTGAATGAGTTGTGGGACAAAAGTGAACTATCACTCGATACTGCCTGTTGTTTCTCTCTTTGAAACATATGCAATATCATATCTAGCAATGTCATTTCCTTACTTTGTTTTGGAAACTTGTTGTCAGTTGCACAAACAGTACAGCTTTACAAATCCCATTTTAGGTCATATCCTGACCTGTCCAAATGTAAACAGTTCAGAAAAAAATTAAGCAGTTTTTCTGCTCATTTTGTGAAATCTATGATACACAATTCAGTTTTTAATAGAATCAAAATCATTTCCCCAGAAAATATATAAATGATTGTAATACATATGAGCACAGTTAAATAGTCTGCAGATTTAAAAAACTCTTGTACATTCTGTATAAGCCTAAATTAACCTCAGTCCATCAAACTATGGGGAAAATAATGATGGCATACCAGTGAAAAAATACTGTTTAGAAAAGAAGAAAGGAATCTTGAAAACATGATCACAAGAGTATGTTAAAGAGGTACCCTCACAACAGGTCACCATGGTTTGCCATGCTGTCCACATCAGGGATGAAAGGGTTAATGCAGGGAAAAGCAGTCCTCAAAAGAATTCATGGTCTGTTGTAGGGTTATTTAATAAGCATTTTCCCCTCCTACAACCACTACCACCCAGATTCAGATGACACAGCAACCATGTGCCAGGGAGTGAATATTCCATTTGGCTGCTGGAATGTACCATGAGCCACCATCATTTAAATAAGCCACAGCAGACTACAGTGATCATGCAAACCAGGTCTTAGTTTAAACTAACCTGCATTTCCATGTTCAGACACTGCAGGAAACTCTGGTTATTTAAAATCAAGAGCTGAGGTTTTTAATTGCCTCCTGTGTCATGTGAAAGAGGAAAAGAGGGTAGTGGGCAATGCACAAACACAAGACTTGCCACTGCTCATGCATGTATCATTAAACTCGCATTGTATCAACATGCCCTTAAGACTGCAATTAGCATCAAGTTCAAGGACTCTCCCTAAATGGTGAAGATAGTTTGGGAAGGAAGGATGTAGCTACCATGGGTGAGATGAGGAAGAAAGATAGCACCCACAAAACCCTGCGCAATCTGCCTGGGAGCTGTCCCATACCATGCTGGGCTCACCAAAGCTACCTCTGAGTAACATTTGCTGAATGCTGGTATTTTCGGTATCTCAGAGGCAGCATATGGCCTGTTAAGCTGCTTCTCTCCAGCCAAAGCTAAGCTAAGCCACCTAGTGTTAGGTATTTTCTAGTAAACTCAAAGAGCCTTATTTGTATCTTCACTCTTCTTCCAGCGCCAGGCCAAGATGTTTCGGTTCATAAGGTAAAAAATGACATAGTTCCCATTCCATGTACAAATATCAGAGGTGGACTGATAGCTGCATCTTCTTCAACACTGGTAATGTGATAGCATCCTTCACCACACCTGGGGGCAGTGGCCTAGGTCAGAGGAAGAGGGCATGCACAGCAACAACTTTCACCCCCAAAACCTTGCCACCAAACCCCAGCATGTGCTGGGTCATTATATTTAATGGCAAAGTGCTGTCCCCATTTACCAATCACAAGTTAGCATAGGTAACTTGTGATTCACAGACTTATTTCAAACACTCTCAGATGTATGGTTTTAAAAAATGGACTTTTGTTCTTATATACTTAAAACAGGTTTGCATGTGTTCAGTGAACTTCTGACAGAAACTTCTGACATTGTAAAAATACTGCAATTTTCCCATAGTGAAGGGACTGATAGATTCTGACCCCTTTCTCTGATGATCCAGTTTGCATCCAGTATACAGCTAAAGTGCATTGTTTCAGCTTCCACTAATTACTTAAGAGCATTTCTTTTCTGGAACATACAAGAGGTAAAACTACATAACCTGGTACAACTATTCTGTAGATAGAGAGGTGCTGTGTATGTCCTAATCAAAGCTAACCATGTGTATGCATGTGTAACTGGCTTAGAAATTTAACCCAACAGATCCCAATCAAGTTTATATGTAGAGGAAAGGAAAGGGAGCCCCTGGAAGGTATGTACACTGGATTGCTAAATGATGGTCAGTAGTATAGTGGTAAATTTTTAAGCACAGGCACTCATTATGACATTCCCTGTAACTACACCCCCAAGGAGAAGCCAAAGATTCAGGCAGCTGCGTTGGTCTATATCAGGGGTGTCCAAACTTTTTGCAAGGAGGGCCAGATTTGGGGAGGTGAAAATGTGTGGGGGCCGACCATTCAGCCTGACATTCTTTGAACCATTAACATTAAATGTAAATGAACTATTTTATGAAAGACTAAACAAGTAACTTAACTGCACTAATGTGAAGGGTGATACTGAGATCTCGACTGCATTATATAGGCCAGGTCTGGCTCAAAAACAGTGATTTTGATGCGCAAGATGTCATGCAGGTGAAGTCACTTAGTCTCATCCTCACACGGTTCTTGTTAAAGTTCATAACCGACCATACTTCGCACAAGTATGTCGAACCAAACAAGCTCAGCATTTTCTTAGCAAATGTTTGAATCTCTTGGAACCTGTCTTTATCCAGCTGGTGGTAAAAGTTGACAAGAGGGAGCTGTTGGTGCCGACTGCGACACGGCGTCACACTGCAGCTCAATGAGCTCCAGCTGCAGGTGGTCTGGAGCGTCATCAAGGTCCACAGAGAAAGGAGATGAAAAAAGCGTGATCTCCTTTTCAATAGCTGCAAAATCCCGAAAGCGCTGTTGAAACTCCTCAGCCAGAGATGAGATGTAAGCTTCATACCTCCTTATTTGCGCACTCATATTGTTCTGTGGAAAACTGGTCATTATTTCCTGCAGCGATGGGAAAAGTGTGGTATTGGGCTGCGTTTGTGACAGGTGCCTTTGGAAAAGTAGCAGCTTGGTCCCAAAGGCTTTGATATGTGAATACAGTTGGCTTACCACTGCATTTTGCCCCTGAAGGCTCGTGTTCAGCACGTTCAGATGTCGTGTTCTGTCAACTAAAAATCCAAAATCAGCCAGTCAAACAGGATCAGATAGCTCAGGCATCAGTTGTCCTTTCTTTGCCAAGAATTGCCCGATTTCCTCCCTAAGAGAGTAGAAGCGCTGCAGTGCAGGCCCCCGACTGAGCCATCTTACCTCGTTGTGATACACAACATCTCTGTATTCAGCCTGGATGTCAAGTAGAAACTGTTGAAACTAGCGTTGGCACAGGGCTTTGGAGCAAATATAATTAATAGCCTTCATCACCGGTTTCATAACATGATCATATTTCAGAAGTTTGACACAGAGAACTTGTTGGTGAATAATACAGTGGAGTTTTATAGCTTTGCTTCCTTCTTCGCTGACTTTGTTACAGACTAGGGTTGATAATCCACTTCACTCGCCAACCATGGCAGGTGCGCCATCCGTAATAATCCCAGTGACTTTAGTTTCATGTCATCTATGGCAGTACAAACAGAAACAAATAAATCTGTTCCTCTTGTTTGGTTCTTAAGGCTCTGGAGGTCAAGTAGCTCTTCACTCACATTCATGTCATTGTCTACTCCTCTCAAAAAAATCAATAACTGAGCGGTGTCAGATGCATCCGTGCTTTCGTCGCAGGCTAATGAAAAAAAAGTCAAACTCCACTCCTTTTGCCTCTAACTGTCTCTTAATATCAGATGAAACGTCTTCAATTCTCCGTACCACAGAGTTACGAGCCAGGCAAACATTGGCAAACTCTTGCTTCTTCTCAGGACAAATTTTCTCCACCATTTTCATCACGCAGTCCTTAATAAATTCACCCTCAGTAAGAGGTTTGCAGTGCTTGGCAATCAGCGTTGCCACCTCATAGCTCGCCTTTGTGTCATTTTCATTTGACTCAGGGGCTCTTGTGAAAAAGCGCTGCTGTGCTGTTAAAGCAGCTTCCAGTTCCTTCAATTTTTCACCACGTTCGTTCCCAGTTAGCTTGTTGTAGTTAGCATGTTTCGTCTGGTAGTGCCTCTTGATATTTAATTCCTTGAAAACAGCCACAGTCTCTTGGCAAATTAGGAAGACACAGTTGTTTCGTATTTCAGTGAAAAAATACTCCAATTTCCACTTGTCCTGGAAGTGGCAGCCCTCGCTGTCAACTGTCGTTTTTTTAGTTACAGTCGCCATTTTAGAAATGGCGACTGTAACTAAAGGGTCACGCGGCGAGAGTGCTGACTCAGGTCTACTGCCATCTTCTGGTGAAATATAACCACCAGCCTTGAAGGAGCAGGAGGCAGCAGGGGGCAGCTGCGGGAACCGCTGTGCAGTGAAGGGAAAAATGCCAGCCGGTGGGGATGAGTGATAGGCTGAGCTGGCGGGGAGAAGCGGCTGCGGGCCGCTCAAAATTTGAAAACGGGCCGCAATTGGCCCCCAGGCTGGACTTTGGACATGCCTGGTCTATATCAACAAAGGATTCTAACAGATTTCATCTCTCCCAGATAAAGGTATTTTATAAAGCTTTTGGGTCCTATTAGACAGTAAATATCAGGCCAGTCTTAAGTACTTTTCATTACAACAAAGCTAGCTCACAATTGTATACTGTTGCTGAAGAACAGCCATTCCCCCCAACCCCAGATACTCTGAAGACCAGAGCTAAGTTTAGAGAGGCAAAAGAAAACTCGAGGGGCGGGGAGGTAACCTTAACATTTCTCAGTGTAATCTAACAGTGCTGGTACATCCCACCAGGGTCTGGCTCCACCATACCCCTGAGGAAGAAAAAGTGCCAGAAAGAGATTAAACTAAAGGCCAAATCAGATGATATTAAATGAATGTATGCTTTTAATATGATTATGAGTATAAATAACTGCTACAGGGGAATCCAATGAAGACAGAAAAGGGGAAGCAAAATCATGATGTTCTAGCCACTGCTAAAGCTGGCACCATGACGGTAGTTTCCCTCCTTGGATTAAAACTTTGGCCCAACTGCAGCTCACCCCGAGAAAAGCCTTCAATGTGGTGGTTCCATTACTCTGGAGCTCCCACAAATCATAATCTTTGCTTGGCTTGACAGGAGACTTCCACAATCCCCATTTTGACAGCCACTGACAGACCCTTCGAATGCTCAAAGTGTATTTACTTTTGCCCTCCCAGGCACACCAACATTTTTACACATTATTTTTTTAATGTCTTTTTTCTGGTGCCTCCTGAAGACATCTTAATTTCAGGAAGCCTTCCTTGGTTGACTAGCCACTTTTTAAACTTGATGTTCTGGTTTATTCTTTATCTTTTTATTTTTTCATTACTGCAGAATCTATTTGTATCAGAATTAGTGTATATATGTTGCAAATAATAGGAGGATATGTTAGACTTCCCACCCTAGATGACAGATTCCTATTTTTAAAGAATAAGCAAATTTAGAAGATAAACAAGACACATTACATGCAAACATGGTGGTGCTGTGATAGCTACAGAGAAGAAGATTGGTTGGGATTGCAAATCACAGGAGCCAGACACTGAAGTTTGAGGAGCAGTGACTTGGATCTATGTGGCTTGGTGAAGCAGAAGCAAAGTTTGCATTACACAATGTAGTCCTCTGTGGGTTTCAGTAGAGTATGGGTTTCAGCTCTACTGAATTTAAGGTACATGAGTTCAGGAGTACAGTCTTGCCATCAATAAGTCACCCAATTTCCTCCCAGAATTATATCAATATAATCAGAATGGGGTTATCTGTGAATAGTGTACATGTTCTATATATACCTTGTATAATTCTAATGGATATCCTTCAGTACAAAATCTTTAACATCATTTTTGCTATATAATTTCTTGGTTTACATTGGATATACTTTTGAATAGACTTTCCACATACCTGGTGTTGGGAACAACATTAAAAAATTGCATTGAATACCTACCTAGCTTGCTGCTAAATAAGACTGTACTGCCTAGTACTAATGAATATGATTTTAACAGGCACACTGGTGCAATTAAAAGTATTGAATGTATTTACAAAATGCACTCCTTTATATATAGTGATGATGAGACTGACTGAGTTTAACAAATGGCAGCAACACCTGTGTCAAAAGAGGCAGAAAAATAGCCATTACCTCAGGAAATTTCTTCTTTTGTAAATATTCTGTCACAGCAGGATCAAAGTACTTGGCATAGCCTTCATTAAGGCTATAGATTTTCCCCTTCTTTTTGATTTTCACATCCTTGTCCACCAAAATGAACTCACCCAGAGCCTGCAGAATAGTTAATAGAAGTCAAGATTAGTAAATGTTCTGAAGTGACTTTCTTCACAGTCAGAAGCTTGTTTTAAAAATGCTATCTTCATGTATTGTTACTGGCTCCCTATTCTTCAAAATAGTGAAAAGCCCAAAGGCAGAACTGCACAGCTGGGTTAGAATCTTAAACCTAGTTACTAAGTTTGGCCCATGGGAAACACTGGGACTTATTTCCAGATAAGCATACATGGACTTGCACTATTACTTTTGGATAACAGAGTCTTGGAAATGTATGGTATCCTTGCAGTATGTGTTTTAGTTAAAAATGGATATTGTCAGTTTGATACAGTGGCATGTCTGTTTGTTTTGGCTATGCTATTTGTTTATTTGAATATGAATAAATCCAGAACTCTGTTATGCGAAGATTAACAGCACAATCTTATGCATCCCTGAAGCCTGATAGACTTCATCTCTACCCAATTCACAGCTCAAGCTACTTCACTATGCAAGCTGTAAACTGGCTTCAAATTATTAATCTAGGGGATGTCATCTCCCCAACATTGTAATGGTAATAGTATAAACAGAGATTGTCAACAATTTGGAGAATGTCTCCTGTTGTTTGCTCTCATCAAGGGATAATTCGGGATTATTAGCAAATCTTCAGCCTAACATAGGATGGCCTTCCATACATCCAGTTCTTGGAATAATTCATTACCTTCACCGAAGAGATACAATCTTTGGGGGAAATGCATGGAAAGTATAGAAAAACGAATATGCCAAAAGCCCATGCTGTGCTGCCACTGGGCTTTAGCAGGGCTTTCACGCCACCCCACCCGCGTATACTATGCACATCTGCTTATAGCAAGGGTAGGGAATCTTTTCCAGCCTAAGGGCCAAATTCCATTTCAGAGAAGTTCTCAGAGGCCATCCAGTGCTAGCTGGGGCTAAAGACAAAGAGGTGATGTCAAAGGCAAAAGGGGTGGGGCAACTATCACAAAAAAGTAGTATATTGTAACTTAAAGCTTCACTAACTAAACCTTAGGAAAGTCATTTCAACCACTCAGAATGTGAAAAATCTACAAAAAATCCAAGAATTAATAGTGATCAAGGAAAGAAGGCAGGGGCAGGGGAAAGGGGTTCTGTGAATCCGTGGAACCCCAAAGGGCTGGATTGGGCTCCAGATGGGCCAGCTTTGTCCCTCAGAGTTGTGGTTTCCCTCTTATAGACTTTGCTACATTTATGTAAAAATATGGGGATCAACATTTTTTCTGTAAAAGTTTCTATAAAGAAAATTACACTGCCACAGGTAAATGTTTATTATTGAAAAAAAAGAGGTCAGGATTACTTAGAATAAGCCTACTGTTGACTGTTCATCTCCCCTCCCTGGAGAGTTTGAAAGAAATTGAATATGTATCACAATGCCACAATGTGGATACAGGAGCTAGGGTTTTAACTGCACTATGACACACACTGCAAATGGGAGTGACTGAAGAATATGCATGAGCAGTGAGTGATATGGTCTGTACAGTATGAATCATGTTTTTGGTACTGGAGGAAAGGCCTTGTGCAGATAATTCCTGCAATTCTTGCAAGGCTGGCTTAGCACTAAAGCCCATGTTAAAACTGTCAGAAGTCAGCTTTTATTCTTTTTACCAGACAAATTAAGCTCACACAATCATGTTTATATAAACAGACGCCACTATGCGAAGAGAAACTCAAACAGGATTTTTTCAAATTCTATTTCAATGACTATAGCTGGAAACAGGTGAATTTAGGTGAAACAGCTGAGAAAATAGGTGCATTCAGCCCTTTGCTAAGTGTGCCTAAAAAGTCTGTGCCAAATTTATATGTAAACACTTTTGTTGTGAAAACAGGGTTGCAAATGTTTCTTGGCCTTCAACCCCTTTGCTCACCTTTCTCTCTACTTCCTTCAGCTTGTTTGAAGCTGCTACTTCTGCACTAACCCCCCTAAACTCCTTCTTCCTGGTCTTTTCTAGGGCTTTTCTACATGGGGCTGTTAATCCAGTACACATATTTTTGGTTTTATCACAGCAAAGATCAGAAAACCACATTTTATTTATTTATAACCTCTAGGTGGCACTGTACTATAGTGCAATAGCGCAAATAAACAAGAGAAAATCTTACTTTCTTTCACCAATCAGAAATAATACTCCATTTTCCCCTTTTAAAAACACTCACAGAAAATGCTGGTAACAAACAGAAGCAAAACCTAGAGGATCACAATATCTAAAGAATCCATAAACCACTAAGAGTAGCACACAACAAATACCTTGCGTTTTGAGAAAAGCTCATAATGCTAGCTAATCAGGGATCATACTGCCCCTGTATTGATTTTTTTTTTTATTTGTTATTTATTTATTTTTATGTGTTACAAAGCCAATTCAGTGTGGAAAGGAAGTCCTGCAGAATACCTGTCAGGAAGGAAACTATACTATAAACATCTTCTTTCCAGTTTACATACACACACACAGTTGCTGAAAGGAGGCATGCTTTTCATATGGGACAGCAGCAGCAACAGTAGATTAGTATTACTGAATGAATATTTGCATAGTACCGGATCCAGCATGAAGCAGTCCACTCCTTGTCCAGTAGAAAGAGCCACCAGGGTAGCACTGCCATACAAAGCATAGCCTGCTGCGACAATGTTGCGTCCAGGCTGCAGTGCATCCTTTTCAGAAGGCTCATCTTCTGATACCTAAAGGAAAAGTTATTTTAGTATCCATCTCTCTCCCTCTCTCTCTCTCTCCCTCTCTCTCTCATTATTTCAACATACATTTGATGAAAAAGAATGATACATGTGTTTACCTTCTTACATGGGAGCAAGTCCTGTTGAATTCAATGTGGCATTCTTTTTAGTTGACTTCCATAGGCTTTAACCTATGGCATTAACTGGGAATTATTCATTTCATTTTGTGCCTCTAATGGGTCAATTACATTTGTGCACAAGAGACTTTAAGCAAGCATAGTTTAATGAATAGTTGGAGAACCATTTTGAGAACTACACAATCTCCTACCTGCCACTCTACTAGCATGTTGAAATCAGGTTGCCATGCTCTTAGTACACCCACACAATGCAAAACTGGTCTGACTTATTACCCACCACATCACAATAACTAAGTGTCAATATGATGTACTGCTTGCAATGTAATACCTGTTTGGTATTATATGAGTTTATGAAGTGCGTGATGATCCTATTTCAGTATGAGATTGAAATAACTATCAATAACTATCTCATACTGGGGACAATTGTTCCATACCAATGAATGTATTCCAAAATGAGTATCTATGGTAGCATGGACAAATTTACTTTAACTTTTCCATATGGTTATAGTTGCCCATTGAATGATCTAAAGTGCCCTGCCTTTAGTGGCTATAGTGTAAAACAGTCCTCTGATAGCCACTTGCTGATACAGGCAGTAATATACTGATTTGTAAGCATGATTTAAAAAGCTGCAATGGAACTTCAGTGAGACAATTTTCAGTTGGACTCTGCTAACGGTGAGACCAGATGTTTTGTGAGAGATCTGTGGTCAGGACAAATGGTATTAACTGGAGTACTATGTCCAGTTATGGGCACCACAGTTTAAGAAAGATGCAGACAAGCTGGAAAGGGTTCAGAGGAGGGCAACAAGGATGATCCAAGGACTGGAAACAAAGCCCTTTGAGGAGAGATTGAAAGAACTGGGCATGTTTAACCTTGAGAAGAGAAATCTGAGGGAGATATGATAGCACCTTACAAGTACTTGAAAGGCTGTCATAAAGAGGAAGGACAGGTTCTCTTCTCAATCATACTAGAGTGTAGGACACAGAATAACCGGTTCAAGTTACAGGAAGCCAGATCCAAGCTAGATATCAGGAAAAATTTCCTGACTGTTAGAGCCGTGTGACAATGGAACCAATTACCTAGGGAGGCTGTGGGCTTTCCCACACTATAGAGGCATTCAAGATGGAACTCGACGGTCACCTGAGAGGGATGCTTTAACTTGCAGTCCTGCACTGAGTAGGCAGTTAGACCCGATTGCCCTCTGGCTCCTTCCATCTCTACTGTTCTATGAAAACGGTAACACAGGGAGTTGTGGCATGGGAGAGTTCACAACCCATATACCTTTTTCTGATCTAAATCTTCTATCCCCATCAATAAGCTTAAAATTGTAGAAAACACAGAGCTACCATATGGGTTCTCGGCATAAGCAGAAAATCAGTGAAGGGAGAACAATTGGGATTGAGATAATTAGTTATTCACTACATCACTCTTCTCCAACCTGGTTGCTTCAGACAAAAGCCCCATCAGACCCAGCCCAGAAACTTGTAAAAGAAAAATAAAATACCAGGAAATCATTTTCCTTTCTTTCTTTAGCAATTACATATTAGCTGGCTCTTTTCTTTCTTCTCACAGCTTACCTTCTTGTAGATAGCAAATATAGTTCCTATTGAAGCTAAACAGTCTATATTGGAAGAGCCATCCAGTGGATCAAAACACACCACATATTTACCCTGGGAGAGGAGAAACAAAAGCAGTGTACATTATCAGGATGGATCCAAATAAATTGCTTTAAGAATGTATGAATATGAGTCCTGCTCAATCAGACCAAGCATGCATCTAGTCCAACATTCTGTTCATATGGTGTTCAACCAGCTGCCCATGATAAAGACTCAGACAGACCATGAAAGCCAGAACACCTTCTCAGCCATGTTTCCCATCAGCTGGTGTACATAAGACATATTGTCTCTGATACTAGACTTGGCATTTAACCATCAAGACTAGTAGCCATTGATAGCTGCCATCTCCATGAATTTGTCCAGTTCTCTTTTAGAGTCATCAAGACTGAAGACCATCACTACATCTCATGGAAGTAAATTCCATAAATTATCCTTCTGTGGCCACCAAAACAATCCAACACAACTGGCTAGTGAACTAGAACACATCATAATTTTATGTAGCATTATATTTGACACTGGGTTCTACAGAATTATGTTTAATGAAATGTAATAAACTAATTCTTAGTAACCACACACAAAATTTAGGAAGGGTGATTGTATGGAAAACAAAGCAGCTGAGCAGTAATGTTCTCATTGCTTCTACCAAATTACAGGTGCAACTTATTACATGTTAAGGAGATCTTGTTCATTGTATTCAAAAATTTAAATACACTGCATTAAAACCATTTAAGTACATCATACTAGTGGTATCACTTTCCTATTATGACTTCAGTGTCCACTGGAATTTATGCATGGCAGTTCTGAGGGGTGGCATGCTCTAATGCAGGGGTGCAGAATCTTAGACATGAGGGCCAAATCAGGCCCACTTGGGCCCCCAGTCTGAATTTCTACAATTCCTAGATGGTGATGCCCCCTTCTCCTGGCACCGTCTGCTTTCCCTGCATCAACAGTTGTCAGGTGCTTTTCTGGCTTTCTGTAGGTTTTTCCTATTCATAAAGGTTGAAACACGTCACCTAAAGCTTAGGTACTAGTACTGAACCTTAAATTAGAAATGTTATAATAAAAAATAATAATAATAATTACAATATGCTGGTATGGTTTGGGGGCAGACATGCTCCCCCCTTTGTCTTTGGCCTCACCCACCACTGGAACGCAGCCTATAAAAGATTTACTAAATAGAATTCAGCACTCAGGCTGAAAGAGGTTCCTCACCCTCTTCTAACAGCTTAGCTCATGCCATACAAAAGTGCAGGATTGTATCCAGTGGTGGCTTGGCACTGTTGATTTCATTCCACTTCTATGTAGCCCTATAACTAAAGGATTGTCTGGGCACTCTCATTAATGCAAAGTAAGATGCTGAATTTCCCCTTAGTACCCTACTACTAACTACTGCAACACTTGCTGTCATGTTCTCTCCTGCTCCAAGGTCCCCAGCCCCCTAGAACAGCTTTTCAAGGAGTAAAGTGGACTGCACCAGGTTGGGAAAATAGCTAGAAATCAGGTGCTCTGCCTGGCAGAAGTAGAAGTGCTTTCTGATAGTACAAAGCTACCACAGGCTGCAATCCAAAATACTTTACTCTTTATTCATGGTTCAGTTCAGTATCCACACACAACCCATGTTACTCTGTGTTCATTGATTAAGGGCACAATTCTATGTGTGTTGAGACATTAAAAAGCTCTATAACTCCTTGAATGCATGATCAGGTATGTATGATTTTTATTTTTTATTTTTTTGTCTCGACACACATGGGATTACATCCTAAACCCATCCCTTTATTCCGGTTTAGATTCATAAACATTATGTATAGCTTCCTTTGAGGTGTGCTTATAATGTGGATTACTTTTTTTGCTTCCGCAGCACAATGATGCCACCTGCTGCTATACGAGAGACCAGATCCCCTTCCTAATCAGTCTGAATGTCTACAGACCCTCTTTTCTTTTGGCGTGATAATAGCTTCTTTATTCTCCTCCGACACCAGAACACAGGTGCTATAGGATGACTGTAGCATGTTGATAACTAGAGAATTTGATAACACATCAAGCTTCTTCTGTTCATCACCAGTTACGTTCACACTGCCTGCTATGCCATACCTGTGGGTGGAATGGAGAGGGGAATATGGTTATTAAGCTCATGGAAGAATACTGAAACAGTACACTTGAACTGTTGAGAAAGTGCTTTAAAATAATATGATTTCCTTACTGCTCTCTTTTACTTTTTAGCTTTCAAGACACTCATTTGTTATTGTTTGTTGTTATATGCCATTAAGTTGTCTCTGACTTATGGTAACCCTATGAATGAAAACCCTCCAAAATGTTCTGTTTTTGGTGGCCCTGCTCTGTTCTTGTAAACTCAAGGCTGTCACTACCTTTATGGAATCAATCCATATCATATTTGGTCTTTCCCTTCTTCTGCATTCAACTTCTCTAGTATTGTTGTCTTATCCAGAATTGTTTTCTTCTGTGTCCAGTTCAAATGATAATCTTTGTTAGAACTTATTTGCTCATGAGACTCACAATCTCCTTCCTAATACCATTTCCTGTATCACTCTTTTGCTTAACAACCTGCTGATAACTCCCACATACACTGGTACTGTGGACTCCCAACCTACCATTTACAGTCACACAACACTGTTAAACAAGAATTACATGATGCAATAGTGGGACTGTGAACTTTTCTACACAAAGCCATTAATTTGTCTGCTGTATTTACTTTCAGTTTCATCACTTGAGTGGAGACTTCCAGCATTACATGAAGCATTTCTTTTCTTCCTTTTCCATTGTTGAACCTCTAGACGGCACTGTGGTTTACTAGAATCATGCAACTCCACAAGGGGGAAAAATGGTTACTTTTGCTTTTAAATTAAATAGGGAATGTTCCCTACCCTAACCCTCCTCACCTCCAATACCTAAAGCACTTTTTATATACAGAATCAAAACGAAAAGGCCACAAGTCATCATCTAAGTTGTTTATGACATTTAAAGAAACCATAAACAACTGTGAGTAGGCATGCAGGATAAATACCTTGTGTAGAAAGCCTTATATAAATCAATTTATCATACAAATAAATGATTATAGATAACACTTTCCCATTGCATCCTTCCAGAAAATACAAATTAAGTTTCACTTAGGAGTGATTTTCAATCAAATTCTACAGAGGTAAACCCCCTTGATTTAGTTTCAAGTGAATAAGCTTAGGAAACTGCTTTATTGCCAGTGGTTATATTAATTGTACTTTTGACAGATAATATATTCTTAATAAGCAAAAATGCATTAAACAATATCAAACTTTCATTCAGGAAATTAAAAGAAGGAAAAAGCAGAGTAAAATCAATATAGCAACTCATCAGCATGATGAATTTCTATGCTGTATGCATTAATTTTTCACTAAAGCATCCTACTTTCTTTCTTTTCATACAATTAACTTACCTTGTATCTACTTACTTGCATGTTCCTGTTTTTACTATTGTCTTAGTATTTGATAATACTCTATAACTCAGGGCTGAGCTTACCATGAGGCCACCTGAGGTATCTCTGCTGGAAACTGCAGCAAAATGGGAGAAGGAGAGAGCTGCGCATGCTGCACACCTGTCCTGCACTCCAAATTAGTCTTCTATCCTTAGGTGTGCGGCCTCCTGGCTAGTGCTGTAGTGAGATTAAACTGCCAGTATGGCCAGCTTTTGCTCATGGAATGGGAGGGGGCACCATCTTGTCCTTTGCTCCAAGCAACCAAATATCTTTGCATTGCAGTGTTTGCATGCTTACTGCATCTTCAGATGTTGTAGACTGCCCTAGGATCAACTGATGCGAAACAGTGTATAAACTTCTACAAGAAATTTATAATAATGCAGCTGGAAGTGTTCATAATTTTTTTAGCAACAGGGACTATGCAAACTTTGTGATGCATAAGAAGATTCATATTGCACATGCTTTCTACTTGTGGAATTCCTGGACAATCAGTTTCCTGATGTGAAAAGTTTTCCACATCCCAGCCATATGCACACATCAAGCTAATTAATCTGGTTTGCACATAATGCTAACCCATGGTTTATTGCTCTGTCCTCTGTAGCCTGGCAAAACAACCCATGATCAGTCCATGGTTCTGGGTTCAGATGTTGCAACAACTATGGTTTAAACAACTCAAAGTTCATACCACTACAGCAAATCTTTGTTACAGACCAACAATAAACCTAATCTCTTTCTGAGTTTTTCATGGGTAACAAAACATAGTTTATTATCACAGTTGAACTCACATATCATAACAATGCATCATTCAACAATCCATATAGTTACAGATTATGTATGAAAAGCCAATCTCGGAGCAACTTCTGAATTCCTGCCTCACTCTCTCTGTACATTTATCATAATATCTGCATTGCCTTTCAGTTGTCCTAGAATGAAAAGGAGGAGCAATTTAATGTAATAAAGGTTCTGCTTTATTCAGCCTAATATGAAAATGACTGAAAAACAATAATCAGAACATGCTGCCTAACTAGCTATGACAAGTAACAATTAACCAAAGTTAATCATCATTGACATCCTCCTATCTAGGACTCTTCTATTCAATACCCAGATGGAACATCTTAATTGCTTGACATGGAATGTTCTCTGGTTGTGATTTTGTAATGCTTATTCAGAAGTAAGACCTGCTGAGTTCAATGGGGCTTTCTAGTAACTTTGCATAGGATTCCAGCTGTAGGGTGTCACCCTTTTGACTCTTACTTGGGACTAAGCCCTGTTGACCACAGTGAGATTTAATTCTAAATAAGCATGCATGTAGGACTGCACTTTTTGTGATTTTTTTCCTCCAAAGTGTTCACAGTTCAGATTGTACCATGCGAATAGTTTGGGAGATTGCACTCTTGCAGGTAATTGTAACCATGTCTATTTTATTATATAACAATGAAATGAAAACAGGATTTGTTTAATCCATTTTAACGTTCAAATATAAGTAAGAGTGTGCCAACAGAAGCTGTAGGATCATTAACACAAATAGTCACATTGGACCAGTTGAGGAAGGCAGGGCAGTTCAATTCACTTGGATTGTGTAACTCTCAGAATGTTTCTTCGGAAGGGATCTTCTGTTACTAACTTAAGTGACTTGACCTTTATGTAGATTTGTGGACTGTCTTGTCTGACCTTGTCTGCAGCAGAAATGGCACCCAGGAAAGGCAGACTAGTCCTGCTTCTTTTAGTTGTTGAATTACACTAACAAATTACAAAGTAATGCTACATTTGGAATGCAAGATCTCTGTGTTGTTCCAAATGTGACTTTTCCCCTGCAATCCTTCTACCATAAGTACTGAAGCGGGGGAAGTTCCCATGTTTGCTACTGCTGTTCTGTCTTAAAAAAGAACACCTGGAAAAATAGTTGAGGAGGCAAAGCTGTGCAATCTCTTCTGACTGACAGTAGTAGGAGTCCTCTGTCTGGAAGCAGCATTAGTTAGCAACTATTCAATACCTGAGCTGGTGATATTCATTTACCTTAGAAGGTAACTTAGACATTTCTCATTTTCAGTAGAGGTGTGTATGTATGAAATTACTTGATTCTACTGAGATTTGGCCAAACAAGCCCCAGTGGGTCATTTGAGAGAGAGAAAGAGCGAGTGAGCGAGCTAGTGCACTGCAAGTAATTCCCAGTGTGATTTTTGACTCAGAAGTTTAATTTAGTGCATGTCAGAAGTTGTGAGGAACTCGAAAGACTTGAGGCCATTGGCATAAAACTTTTTCTCTTAAGCTTAATTGCCATGTATACAGGAGATGGGGGTACAAAGTAACCCCTCTTTCTCCCACTGTTATACCCCTGGACATCCACTCCATGGCCCTTATCCTTAGGAAAAACGTCCTATTAGCACATGGGTCCTCAAACTACTGCCCACGGGCTGGATCTGGCCCACCATGCCCATTTATCCGGCCCACCTTGGAGGTTTTGGACTCTCTGCACGTCGCGCACACGGCAAGGGGACGGCTTGCTCGCGCAGAGATCATTTTTGACTTGCTCAGAGAAAGCGATCTTCACGCGAGCAAGCTGCCCCACTCATCACCCACGCCTGCCCCCGCCCTCTCCGCCTGCAGCCGCATGCCCCCGCCCCCTCACTGGCCCATGACCCCGCCCCCGGTACTGCCTTGTGGCCCGCACTCACTGCCGGCACCTTTCAACTGGCCCCCTGTTGAAAAAGTTTGAGGACCCCTATATTAGCCCCAACAGCATTTTTTTGCTAAGTTTAATCACCATGCAGAGTGGGTCTAGGGAGCATTGTAGCATGTGGGAAAGAAACATAAGCCCCCCTGCATGCCAGTAAGATTGAGAAAAACAAACTGTTATTGATACTAATAGATATTTGGGTCTCTGGGCAATAGATAGGACGCTCTGGTTATAGATTTGGGGCTTGGGCCCTGTGGGTCCTGGCCACATGCCATTTTTAACAGTATACTCTTCCCCACCCCTAACCCCATCCTGAAACTTATAAAATATATTTTCTACTCCCACTTCCGTGCAACTTACATATGAGCAAGGCCTGCTTTTCGGACCGCTGTTGAGATGGCCTTTATGGCGGTGAGTATCGAATTCAACAGCTGGGTCAGCTCTCCTGTAGCTCCTTTAACCCGTCGTCCCTTCTCCATGACATATCGGTTAAGAGTTAACATGTCTGTTTCAAAGGGGCTTCTGTCTGACATCTTGGCGGGAAATGGGGTCTCTTTCCTTAGCTAGAATTTAGTAGTTCCTTTCCCCCTCAATGCAGCTGCTGTTCAGTGGCAGTTATATTTTAAGGAGACGCTGTTGGCTTACATGCTAGGCATGGTTTAGGAAAAGGTTTCCAAGCCCATGTGACTTAAATACTTGGAACAGACATGCAGTATAGCTCCTCTGGATCAGGGCTGCAGAGAAGCAACTAAAGTGCTGCTGTCTCCTTCTGTAGATAAAATGGCAATCACTCACCCAGTACTGCCACTGTATTGTGGCACAAAGACTCAGCAAAACTCTGTTTGGGGAACATTGTAGTAGGAAAAATGCATGTAAGAAAAGGAATATGCATTGTTTATCCATGGTGCACAAGCATTTATTGCTGTCAGTACCATTGCCAAGCCCATGTTTGTTGCCTTGTTTATCAGGTTTATCTGCTGTGACATTACCTGAAGAAAACAGTCTTGATCTCAGTTACTCATGCCCTAGTTATTTCCTGGCATGAGACTGGCTTATTAAAATGATCTCTATATGGGAGTGCCTTTACAGTCAGTTTGAAAACAGTTGTTGGTGCAAAATAAAGTTACCAAATGTTACTTAGAGCTTGATCACTGCTGACATTTAGCCAAATGTTGAAAATGTTTCTCATTACTCAGACAGGTGTTTAATTTGTACCTATCTGTTGTTTGCATGCTTTTTACTGTTTATGTTATTATTTAGGCACATAGAAAGCTGCATTAAACTGAAACATGCCCTGGTGACATCCAGGCTGCATACCTTTAAGGCACTCTACTTAAGGCTGTTTTCAAACTGTCTTCACATCCAGTTTTCTGAAGTTTCAAAGGAGTCAAGACAGATGGTTCTTGTGACAATAATATCATGCCACCTGCTCTGTTAACCGGTGTATTTCCAAACCCAATGTAAAGTGCTAGTTTTAACCTTTAAAGCCTTCAAAAGCTGGATATCAAGTTACTTGAAGGACTGCTTTCACCCTCGTCAGCCTCCCTATACTTCTAGATTAACAACAAAGGCATTTCCCACTTGCCTGCCTTTGAGGGCAGTTAGTTTGGCAAGTACAGTGAGGAGGAGCTTTTCCTCAGTGCCTCTGAGGTGCGTTGCTGTCTGGGAGGCCCCTTCATTATAGGTTTATAGGAAAGCCCTGAATAAGTCCCATCTGTTTCCCTGGTGCTGTTTTTAACTGCAGTTGTATGTTTGACTGGAGTACAATCTGAGCTAGAGGTTTATCCTCATTCCCAGTGCTGATTGTATTCTTTTTACCAGTTTTGTCATTGCATGGGATTTTATTGAGCTGCCATCAGAAGGCTTTGCTCTTAAACCTGGGTTAAAACAAAAAAAGCAAATAAAAACATTTTAAATGAATGAATGCAAAATGAAAGCAACAACTGAGGATGGAAGCTGCAGTAGTAGTTGAAAGGGGGGATTAGGATAAAGCACAAAGGGAAAAGGAATTCACTGGAATTTAATGCCAGTCTAGTGGTAGCATTTGCAGTTGGGGCAAGGGGCAGGTACCTATGCCAAGACTCCAGAACACACAGCCTCTTCGTGTAGTTAGACCAGTGTAGACCAGTTTCTTAAACAACAAGCTTATCATAAATGAACCATACACTTATTAATGGTGCAATCCTGTCCTTGCCTAAACATTCAATTCAGTTGAACTTCCTCCCAGGTTGGTTAATATAAGATTGCATCCAAATGTCCAAGGTTTTTGGTATCTTTAATCTTCCACAGATTGATGCCCTAAATTTGTTTTAGATTAAGCTGCTAGGATTTCTGACCACTGGCCATGCTGGAAGTTCAAAACATCTAAAGGACACCAGTTTTAAAAAGGCTGATCTAGCTTTTGATGAGATGTTACTGATTTGATGAAGAAGTTACTGATTGATCCCAGTTGCTTAACTTTTTCCCAAGTGACTTCCCAGGCTAGGTGAACCATACTTATCAAATTTAAGTGAAAAATCTTGTCAGAGTCTTGAAAATAGTACGAAGATATTCTAAACTGAACTCAATGAGTGGAAAGTTAACCTATGTTGATACTATAACCTAAGGAGTGTTGGCTGCCTTGTCCATCCAGGACCACTCTGCATATCAAGATGGATTCAATCACAGTGTATTAGTGTGGAACTAAAATAATGAACTAGATTCCAGTTTCAAAGTTAACTCCAGTTTGGTAGAGCTAGAGGTTCATAAACTGAGTGCCTTAATTGCACAATAAATGCCATCTTCCAGATTCAGTAGCCAATTTGCTTAATAGTGAAAATTGCTTAAAAGTACAAGCAGTTCAGTAGTTGTTAGAAACCATATGGGAATTGGCTTGGTGGTTGGCAAAGCTTAATATCTGTAAAGGAGGCATGGGTATTAGGATGAATGGAAATTTTGCAACCTAACATCTATTCCTTCTTCTGAATTAGTATAACTTAGATTTGCAGGGCATTCAAAGCCTGAAAATCCCTGATCAACAGATGACAAGGTTTTCGCAATGCTAACATGGTATTTGTATTTCAAAGGGTACTTGTGAAGCTGATAATCTTATTGACTTTCACTAGAGCTATAAGCTGGTAAAGAATAACATGCTTTGTGAATTGGAGGTGAGAGTAGCCTTCCCCAGCATTTTGCATTTTAGCCCTCTTCAGCCCCAGCCAATATAGCCAATGATTAAAAATGCTGGGAGTCATAAACCAAAAAGTCCCAAAGAGATCCAGTCAGAGTATGCTGGGATACATATTCCCTTGCAAGAACACTAGTGTTTTAAACTGAAGTGGAGAGGAAATAAACTGTTTTCTATTTGTAGACTTCTAATTACTTCCTTTGCATATAAAAAGACATTTATGTATTCAGGAAAATTAAAACTGCTTAACATAGTTAATTTCCACGGTCCTTTTCTTAGCCAGGCAAGGGCATGTCTTTGGAGAGATAAATTCTGCTTCTATATCTTGCCACACATGGAGCTTTGCCTATCACTAGCAAAGGTCTTCACATTCACATGTTATCAGACACATGTGAATGCATGCTATTACGGCATTGCTTTCTGTGCAGAAATGGAGACATGCAGGAGATAGTCAGGCAACAGGGAGTTATGGATGTTGCTATGTACATGGGACTTGGAGAATCCTTCTCTGGCATGAAGTGAATATGCAGCTCTCTTAAAAACTCTGTGGGCCCTTTGAACATCTATGTCCTTTACTCTTCCATAAAACAGCAGTGATGGAAAATGCAAGCCTTTCCAATCACAGGCACCAGAATTTCTCTCTCATAGAAGTTCATCATTGTTATATTGTACAGTTTTCAGTGTGCAAAAGGGGACATGTTAGCCCAAATATCTGTAAATGGGTGAATGGTTAAGCTGAAGAGAGTAATGACTTGCTGAACGCTACCCCTGGGTTCCAGGTGGATTTGAATTTGAGTTTCTAATGACTGCACTTGTTCTGCATGGGAAGAACATTTGCTTGGGAAGCTCCTATGCATGCAGTGCTCTTGATTATGAATTTTGCTATTGAATTGTGGAAGAATGTCTTCCTGAGCAGCCTCCTGTATGGTTTGGATGACTTGCCTATTACAGCATTGTTTCCATTTAAGCAGTTTCTTTAAGATGATACTTTCCTCCAACTGAATTTAAATGGAATTAAGTCTGTTACTGACACCACCTGTAACAAGATCTCATGACCTTTCATCAAATGCCAACATTCCCTGGTTGCTTGGTGGAGCTCATGAGGTAAACGCTGCTCTAGGTAATAACTATTTGTTTTGGAACTTTGAGAATGAGCTTCTTATAAAAATCCAACCTACCATTTTGTTATAGGTTTTTCTTTCTGCTAAGGGTGGATTTAAAAAGTGCGGGGAAACTGCAAACACATACTTTCTCTGTGTGACTTGTAGGAATGAGCGGAGCCCTTTGGTTCTATCGTTCTACAGGCTTTGCCTCACATTCCACCCTGCTAGCCTTCTAATTTAATTTGCAAAATTAATTTTCAAGGTTGCCACACAGGCAGCTTGTAATCCTTTCTGTCACTGACATCTGTGCACATCAGGGACATCAGACAAGTGTGATTGTGCACTTGTGACAAACTGCATGGAGTGAGCAATGTGAAGAAAGTCTGGATGTTTGTACCAATAAAAGACAATGTTTGTCTGTTCTTCTGTCAGCCAACCAGCTCTACAGTGCCACAACCATGGCACAAACATATGGAACTTGGTGTGCACACTATGGGAAGCCTGGAGGTGTCCATCCCAAGCTTATTTTGTTTTTAAAACGTATTAATATTAATTAATGTAAATGTATCGATGTTGTTGAAGTTTTTCAGTAGCATCTTTATCTGCTAGGGGCATTCTTACCTAACTGATGCATAATTTTGCAGTCCGTCAGTTTGAGTCAGGGGAGATGAGTAGGTTAAGGAACAGAGTTATACATCTGCTGTAGAATAACATCACTCCGTCAAGGGAATAGAATCTGAAAAGCACTAAGCTGGGGAAGACTGGCCTATGGATACTGTTGTCTTAAAAGCACAGCATGATATATACTTTCTGAATAATTGGTTAAATATTCAGGCCTCTCAGCTGCTGTGCCATTCAGTACAGCTCCACCCTTGTGTGACTGCTCCCTCCTGCTCCCTGCATGGTACAGATAGAAGCAGCAAATACTTTAGGGAGGAGGCAAGAAGAGGGTGGAGCAAGGCAGCCTTCCCTGTTTTTGCACAGCCCAAAAGGGTCACTCCCACAATCTTTTCCCACAATATCCCAACAACTTTTATATCAAGAGGGAAGTGTTGGGATATTGAAATGGTGAGTGGTACAGAGCTGAGTGCCCCTTGGATGCTGCTAGACTTGGATCAGCACAACTTCTGTCCATGTTCCAGCAGCAGAGGTCTCCTGCAGCTGCAGTGGATGAAAGCCTGGAATTCCAACATTCAGCATGGAGAGGGGCTGTAGCTCAGTGGCAGGGCATCTGCTTTGCCTGCAGAAAGTCCAGGGTTCACTCCCTGGCATCTGCAGGTAGGGCTAGGAAAGAGTCTGCCTGACATGGCACAGAGCTGCTTCCAGTCAGTGCTGACAGTACTGGGCTTGACAAACCAAGACTCTGAATCAGTATAAGGCAGCGTGCAACATCCCTATGAATTCAACAGACAACTTTTTAAAATTCTAAATGAATTGCTTATTGCAATCTAAACAATATAATCTTAAAAACAACATTAAACCTGCAGTGGCATATAATATAGTTTACAGACTGCCTGCATCAATATTCCATTGATGTGGCCTATAAAATGCAAGATTGGACTATGTAAAAATAAAATAGCTTCTCTTAAATTTGCTTTTAATGGCACATTAAAAGTTTGCATTAAGTACACTTTTTGTGCATTATGAAGTTAATGCACTCCAGGAATGGCTTCACAGTCAAACAGTATTGCACAGTGTGATCCTTGGTTGGTAAGGGCACTTCATTTGTGGATGTAGCAAGCCTCTTCTCCTCATTTTGCTGCATACTTCTTGAACAAGGCTATGTATTCCTGCACATCGTCTGGGGATCCCAAGACTATAGGCACGCGCTGGTGAATATTTTCAGGCTTAATATCCAAGATTGCCTCCTTGCCTGTTGTTGCAATTCCTCCAGCTCTCTCAATGATAAAAGCCATGGGGTTGCACTCATAGAGTAGCCTTAACTGGAATTACACAAGGCGAGAGATCAGTGTTGTATTTGCACTGCAATCAAGTAAATGTTCAGAATTATGTTCACGAGAATACACTATACTTCTATAGTGACCTGTGTATGCGGATTTTTACAGCAGTGTGGTATATTTGTGGGAGTGCTGGACTGCGACGCAGCAGAACTAGGTTCTAGTCCCCACCTGGCTGTGAAGCTCGCTGGTAACTTTGGGTACTTACTCTCAGCCTACTGTACCTCACAGGGTGGTTGTTGTCAAAATAAAATGGAGGAGAACCCTGTAAGCCTCCTTTGCTTCCTCACAAGAGGAAGAAAGGTGAGATATAAGTATAACATTATAATAATAATTATCAGGAATGGGAGCCTCCAGCAGTCTGGGTGGGGTGAACCTTTAGTATTCTGGCCTCTTTCCTAGCCCAAGCCACACATTATTTCCCTCCTGGTAGTTGCTGATCAGAAATAAGAAATTTTCTGTGCTAGACACACCCACCCAGCACTATTTTTAGACTTTTAAAGAAGAGCCTGCAGTGTCTCAATGGAGATTTCAGAGCCTAACTGCACAGCAGAAGGCATTTTCACAGGAGTGGCTACTGGGGATATTTCAGCAAACACTCTCTTCCTCCAAGATATATCGTCCCCATACACTGCAATCAGGTTTTTAACAAAGCCTAATTATTAACAGGGCAGGCATTGTGCATGCTTTGCCTGTATACAGAGGTCTAGGCAATCATGGAGGTGGACACACGGCAGCAATGGGATGGTCCCACCTAATCAGCACATTTCAAACTGGAATCTTAGCATAGGAAATTAAGGTTTCATGTCTGAATTCCACATGTTATTCAGCAGCAGACAGTACGACCCCTTTACCAGAATCAGCAGACTGTCATGGTAAAGAGTGATGCAGCATAAATTCAAATCCCCACCCATCCATGAAACCTCATATGCTTGTTGTGAGAATAGAATTGGGAGAGAGAACAAAAAAAAGCTTTTGAGTAAGTATGTACATAAAGCCATAGTTCAAGCCATAAAACTGTGCAAGAGGACAAGAACTATCAATAAATGATGGTCCCAAAAGTCTTGTTGTGTCTCTAGCTAAAGGAGAATGGTTCTGTTTGTGACTTTCTGTGTAAATGAGTAACTGCCTCATATCAACAAGCTGGAACAAACATTCAAAGAGTTTCAAAATGTGAGTTAGCTTTTGTGCTGAATAAATACAGGTTCTTGTCTATGAGTTGGGAAAGAGCTCACCATAGAAAACACTGTTCTGCTTTTTAATGATTGAAGGTTGAGATTATACCTGAATGCCTTTTGAAAAGGGTTGTAAGTGAATGAATGCATTTCTCAGAGCTAAAAAGTGGTAGTTCTTTTGTGGAGCAGAATATGTTGCTGTTTTAACCATGCCAATGATCAAAAACTACCAACAAAACAATTACAAATAAATTAAGATTGATGCTGCCTCAGGTCTGAATTAGGATGTTTCCCCAGTATTCCTAGCTTGGGGTCAAAGTATACATTTTGTTAATTGTGTAGTGTTTCACCAAGGTTTTTTTCCTTTAAATTAGGCACTGACAGAATACTGATTTGGATCAGGACCACCATTCATTGGAAGGGAAGAATTAAATCTCACCTTGTCTCCACACGTGTTTCCCAGTTCCTGCCCTCTTGCATAAAAGTTAAGAAAGCAGAAGAGAGAACTTCCACTGATGCCAATGGTTCTGATTCAAATCAGAAATGTACCCTAAAAAGCCTCAAGTACACACTAGGTAACTGATGTAATGTATAGTCTGTTAGTGCTATTTTATTTATTAATTTATATTCTGCTGAACATATTAAAAACCTTTCTAAGTGGTTATATATACATAAAGTGAATTGTCAGAATCCTGAGTGTTACACTGTGGCTCAATTCACTTTAAGAGAGGGATACTATTTTTAATTGGTCCCGTATGGACCAAGTGTAAAAAATTAGCACTTCTTCAGGAAAGGTATAAAGGTTTGATTCCAGTGCATTCCCTAGTGGGCTAATTTTCCAATGACTGAACTTTATATTTTATATAGGAAAGCATTTATAAACATGTTGCTTGAGCAGCAGTCTGAATCAAAGCCCACTCCACATTTTTAGAGCTGAACACTTCCAGTAACTAAGCCATAAAGCATCAGAGCTCACATTAACTGATTGAGAAAGAAAAAGAAAGCCACCTAGTGGCCATAGCAAGTCATGTAACTTCATGGCACATTTAATCTTTGTCAGTACATGAATACTGATGCCTCAGCAGAAAATAGACGGAGTTGCTATCCAGCTTGCTACCTATCATGTCTTCATATGATTCACAGAAAGAAGCTAAAATATCTGCCTTGAAAAAGAAAAAGTGGGATTCACCACACCTTATCTGGTTCTTTTTTGGAAGAAAAAAATCATTTCTTGTCTACCTACAAGATAACTGATGGGATGTTGTTCTTTTAGTAAAGTACACTTCTGTAGAAGTCTCAGCAATTTGGAAGGATGCTTCACCCAGCACAAATGTTACTTCAGCCTTGCCCAGTTCCCAGCTGGCTGGGGGATGTTTGAAGCTGTAGTCCAATACTACTTGGGGCGGGGGGTGGGGGACAGACGGGACAAGGCTGACTTGTCATCATCATGACATTGCCCAATGGTGATGCATCCTGCAGTGCAGAGACAGTGTCTGAAACAAAGGGGGCCCTCCCCAGCTTTTAGTCAAATACAGCCACACATTTTCCTGTGTCTTTGCCAGAAGTGCGATGGCTTGACTTCAGAAAATGTATGGAGAGGTATGTTCAGTTATAAAACTTGATGATAATAAAGCCATCAGATGTAAAATCTGTTTTATGTTGTTTTAATTGCTGGATTGTGTGTATTTTAATTATATTGTGTAAACTGTTTTGAGAACTTTATGCTAATCATACAATACAGAAATGCTTTAAAAAATAAATAAAAGCATGCATTTAATGTTACCTTTCCATGAGGGCTTTGTGAGTTGGCTGGATATAGAAAGATTCCTCCGTAAACCAGTGTACGATGTACATCAGCAACCATGGAACCAATGTATCTGCTGCCATAGGGAGAGCTACCATCCTGTTGCCCAAATAAAATATTAGGATAAACATTTCTTTTAAGGCACCACATCTTCCAAATTGGTGATAAGAGGGTAACAACTAATCCCATTTTTAGACAGGTCAAGATGATAGCTGTACACTTGTCCCTTCTTGAATCGGTGCATCCAATAGGAAGGGCAGGAAGTCTCCCAGTAAGTGAAAGATGCCTATATCCCCTAAACTCACCCTTGGGAAATAAGCTTTACAGACACGACAATCATGACCCTTTAGACACACAAAAAAGCAAGAAATAGGCAAAAGCTGAAGCTTGCCATGTGTGTACAAAAGCATCGAATGGATGCGTCAGAACATTTACATTTCATCCTCTAATTAACACTGCGGTTGTGCTCAGGGAAATACCTCAATTACAAAATTCCTGTATGGTAGAAAAATCATGCAAAGATTACTTGCAGTACCCCACATAAGAATTGAAAATATGCCTAATTTACTGCATTTGCTACAACTTATTGCAGTTTCCCTGTGACGCAGTGAAGAAGAGGGCTGTGCCATTGCTTAGGTAACAGGGCACATGTATATTTTTCTCCACTCCCTTCCTTAAAGAGCTTTCATGAAGAACATTTCTAGTGCTTGTGCCAGCTCTTACAGCTTTTTGAACATGCCACTGTGACTCTTATTACCCTAGAGCCTAACTCAGAATGTCATATCGAATGCACAAAGTTGTACCCAAATTCTGTAAAAAAGATGGGATTCAATCCATAGATGCTATCTCTACTGGACCCCTTTGCTTCATCCTCCCCAAGGCAGTCTCTCTGCCCCCTGGAAATGCTACTGAAAGGATCAAGGGACCTACTTAATGGGGTGAACTGGGGTGAAGATGGAGAGGGAGATCCCTAAAAAATTAGCCAGAGGGCACTCTCCATGACTGGAGCCTTTCTGTTCACAGAATACAGATCCTGGGTCCAACTCTGTGAATGCAAGGGAATATCTGGATTCAACCTGCTGTACGTCTCCATAAAACAGACAACATGGTCTTCAAAGGCTTCTTACGCCCTGTGTGACATGCACATGGTAGGCATGTCATGAGTGGATCCAGCTGGAGCCAGGGTATCAGTCTAGATGGCCCGGGAGACCCCTTCTGACTTGCTCTGTTTCTGTGTATATTGCTTTGACATTTCTTTGTAGAACATGAAAATCTACCTCTGGAAACTTCTTCTTCTTAAGATACTCTGTAACAGCAGGATCAAAGTATGTAGCATATCCCTCATTGATGCTGTAGATCTTTCCTTTTTTCTTGATTTTTACATCCCGGTTGACCAAAATGAATTCCCCAATAGCCTAGTATAAAAGAAAGAAAGAAGGCATTGTCATTTGTATAGCAGATATACTTTGTACCTGATTAAAGTTCACCCATGAGGTTCTGTCCATCACTGTCCATCTAGCAATAGATCAGAAACTTCTGATTCCTATTCCACTATGTGCCCTCCACATCTACTCTGGGGAGTTCAGGACGCCTATGTAGCAGATTTGGGGAGCATGCAGTGGAAGGGGCAAGTCCCACTACATCAGGCAATGTTGAATTAAACTCACAGTTTTCAAAATCATGATCCAACCACATGCACCATAACTACCTGACAAGCGAGAACTTGCAGAACGGTGCATGTCTGTAAATTTGGTCAGCTGAACAATCTATGTCATCCTGCCAAGCAGGTCCAATTCCTTCAATTCCCTTGTGGAGCTATTAACAAGCAATAAGGAATATGTTTTCCAAAAATAGTAATTGACTATAATAGTTTCTCGAGATGGATTGGAGCAACTAAACAAGTCTGTTCTATACTGAAACTTATTATCCATAAGTCTTGCCTATCCTTTCACAGTTACTTAAGAAAAAATGTCACTACAAATACAAAACATAGTCTAATGACTAAAACACACAAAAATTACATGCAGCTACCAAAGACATTAATACCACAGATATTAGAAAATATATCATTCTATAGTTATATGAAACGTCAAACTACAGTTGCTTGCAACTAAATAGAAATGGTAAAGTTCAAGCAAGGTGGTTCATCCTTGCTTCCTCCAGAAAGAAATTCTAACACCAGCTATATAGAATGAGCCACACTGAAACATGTACTTTACTGCATATATTAAACCGTCCAGAATGTTAATGACGACAACATACACGAATGCCCCAACTTACTGTTTAAGGTACCAGGATGCAAGCTGAAAGTGTACAAGGACATCTGTTAACATAATTTTGTTAGGATACAGAAGGTAGCCTTGTTTTGAAACAGCTACTGAGTAAATATGGATGTTTTCCATTATAAAATTCTTAGAATGGTCTACCCAAAGGGTGAATACACTAAACTATATGTCACATTGAATAGGTAGCATGCAGCCATTGTCCTATTCAGAAATAAAACTGGGATAGGAGGCTTCAGACCTTTGCCCTGCACAGGGATCTTGATATGTACTGGAGGCAAATGCACTTTTATCTCCAAAAACGCCTTCTCCATATGAAGGATCCCAATCTGGGCCTTATACTTTTTAAGTAAGAAAGTTATAGCTATATACTCCATATTAAAGACAATATGTAGTTGGTCCTAATGCTGGAACAGAAAGAAGCCTTTGGCTTTCTTAAAGCTTTCAAAACATGAAATTGCATGTGATTCATGATCGTCTGCTGTTTGTGCATTTTGTAGCGAGTCCTGTTTTTCTGCAAAAACCAAGAGATCTGATTCCCCTACACGATTTATTTATTTATTTAAAAATTTGCTATGCTGTCCCATGCTTAGACATCTCAGGACGGTTTACAACAAATTCATTCTAAAAATAAGAAATAAAAATAACACCCATCTATTATTTATTTGGACTCAGTTTATTACACAGACTGCACCATCATCTGCTTTTTCTTTTTCTTCTTTTTGATCCTTCAGATGGCTGTTCAGTTTGAAGGGTGTCTCCAAAACAGTTCATCCCATAACAACCCCGTGACTTTCAATCATAGATTTATCTAGAAAATGAGAAGAGAGCAGGGCTGCAGCAGCACAGCCAGGTAAGGACTGGAACTTAGGCTTCTGGGTCCAGCACAGGGGACCTAGTCTTTCTTTGCTAACGTATGTGGATTTTTGTTTTGCTCCTTTGAGAAAATTGCTTCATGATTTCACATGACATGTTAAAAATGGGATCTGTTCTGTGAATTTCCCTTAGTGAAAAAATCATTTCTTATTTTTATAAATACTAAAAACGTTTCCTTCTTTCTCTCTCTGTACCTCTCTTGCACACGCACAGACAATGACATTTTCACGGACAATCCATACCGGATCAAGCATGAAACAGTTGACGCCACATTCCAGAGCCAGAACAAGCATGGTAGCACTGCCATAGAGGGCATAGCCAGCTGCCACAAGGTTACGCCCAGCCTGCAGAGCATCTTTCTCTGAGGGTGCACCAGATGAAACCTTGAGTAAGAGAGACAAGAAACTTAAAAATCTATACATTTCATATTTTTAGCCTTAAAGATTAGAGAAAGACAGCTGGATGGGAAGGGACAAACGCATTTACTAAAGGGAACTCCATATAGCTGACATGAGCAGGGCTGAACTGCTTCATTTAGTGTAGAAGCATTTCCTCTCAGTCCAACTATCAGTTCCATGGAATACTTGCCTTGCACTTCAGTATAACAAACAGTTTGTAGGTTGCTTGGATATTTCAGTAAATCTGCTTTGTCAACAAATATCTTTGCTATTGGCACATAGCAGAGATTTCAGCACTTCTAGAATTAGGTTGCATAATAGCATGTGATTGACAACCCTGACAAATGGCCCAGTAATGCGTTTGATACAAGGGTGGGCAACTTGTGTCCCTCAATGCAGAGGTATCATGGGAACTGTAGTCCAAAACATTTGGAGGAGCACAGGTTCCATGGTTTAATACTCATGCTATCTGAAATTACTATGTGCCCAAGCATTTATTCTCAATGTTTAAATAATCTTTTGGAGAGGTTTGGACTCAGAGGAACTGTATCATGGAACCCCAAAGGTATCAGGCTGAAAGGACGCAAGTGGCATGGCTTATTTCATGTCAGTAGACCTCCCATCTCTGGGCTGCCTGAGGATTCATCCAGCCACTGGACTCATGCTGCCAGGGTTCTCTGGCAGTGTGTTAATGCCAAGCCTCTAGGTTCCACTGTGTGGCACAGCTGGGAAAGCTATTTTGAATCCATAATATTTCCAGCAGAGTCAAGGGACTCTGACAAACTTTGAGGCCCTCTTTTCTTCCCTAAAACTTCACCCAAAACTGGTAGGTAAATACACACCTTGATTTTTTGTAATCAGTCAACTTGATTTTTAAAAACTTTTCTTAAATATCTAGTTATTTTAATATCTCTGTAGTATAGTTTTCATTCTGTATACTGCCTTGAGAAGCTGTTACCCTCAAAGGCAGCTTAAAATATCTTAAAATAAATAAAAAATATTTGCATATTTAATAAATACCCATGAAGACCTGGCAATAATTTAAAAATATTTCATTAGTAATGAGGGAGGAGCATTTATTCTACTTACTCAAGTGCTAACTTTGAAAGTCAGCAAAACTATTGTTATGCTGCTCAAGAGGAAAATTTAGCACTAGGGCTGATGGGAAGCAAAGTGATTAGGTGTATTGCAGAGAAAAGGGAGAAGAGGAGAGGTAGTATAGTGAATGCAGGAATCACTACAAGGCAGTCTTGTGCTTGGTCTTCAAGGGAACAGGACAAATTTCCCATGACAGCCCATAAGAACTGTCTTGCCAGAGCATATCACAATTTCATCAAGCCAACATTCTGCCTCCCAAGCAGTAGCCCTGGAAGCTCACTGCTGCTCGTTTTTTCTGCTCTCTTTTTTTAAACAATTGAGCTCTCCCTTCCTTGATCTTTACTGGGTCTCTGACAGAGGAAATTTCATTCCTCCCTGCCCAGCCGCAGTTTTATCAATAATCTCCTCCTTCTCCATCCTAGGCAGGTATGAGGTTTAAAAGGTCCCCATTAGTAAACACAGGCCTTTTATTCCTAACTCTGTTGTCACACTGAAGGAGTGATTATTGGTAAAATCATAACTGGGGAGGGAAGGATTAAACCTCCTCATTTGGAGGTATTGGTGTGTGTCCTGTGAAAGAGAGTACACCAGCTGCTAGCAATAATTTTAAAGCAATGTGTAGTTTATTCCTAAGAGAGCATCTCCGCAGAGGAATCTATTAATCTTATGCTTGTTGACCTTAGATTTGATCCTTAGTGTAATCCGGTCCTTATTTTTCTGTTTGGCTGATGTAATAAACATTCTGGGGATTTGCTAAGTAACCACTACTACAGCACCCAGAGTCCTAGAATTGGAAGAATAGCAGGGTGTGGCTTGAACAGAAACAAATGACATATTAAACTCATGATAATCCAGAACTTCAGGTTTCTTCAAACAGGGCACCTGCCGGTCAAGATGACATGTGCAAATTAGATCCCTACACAAGTTAGCTAAAATCTTAGTGGTGGAAGTGCTTTGAGAAGTACATTGTGGATTTCCATATTATGCTGCAAATAACATTACTTCCCTCTTTTGAAAGTTACCTCATGGTAAATTGAATGGCTCAAAATAGACTGCTATATGAGTAGTTATTCATATTATCACACCATTTGCACAAGCAACCATTAAATGTGTCCTACCTTTCTGTAGATTCCAAAAATGGTTCCAATGGAAACAAGGCAGTCAATGTTAGAAGAGCCATCAAGTGGATCCATGCAGACAATATATTTACCCTACAAGACAGAAGCATTTGAATTCACTTTAAGCAAATAAGGGGTGTATATGCAAAACCACAATATTTTTACTGTAAATACTCTGGCTGAATGAGATTTCAGGCAACTTGTTTGCAATGTTGTCTATTTAGTGTTTAAAAAGTTAATACTCAGTTGGACTCATAAATGAAGAAGAGCCTGCCATATTCAAGATCTATTATCTCTATTACCTTGCTAGGATTCTGATCCATACTGGGGTTTCTGCATTTGCACTATATAAAAGTGTGGATGGAGAAAGATATAGCTGCAACTGCATCTTTAAGGTCTATTTCGGTCATCCACTGTCCAGTCAAGGGGAAATGGTCCAGTCAAGGCTGTGCCCTTCAGGCTCATCACAGGAGGGCACAGTCCTTCAAGACATCTCTGCCACTATATGCCCTCTTCATAATGTCTTTCATTATATATGAATGTATAAAATCTTCAGGAAGAGCAACAGGCTATTGTAAAAACATCTGGTTTGGCCTTGGCTTAGTTATCTCAGTATACATATCATTCCAAGTCCACATTTGCTTTAACAATGAAAAATGCAGACCAAAGCAGGGGAGGACTGGTGAGCCAAATCTATCATACACCCACCAATTCTCTGCTACAAATGTCTACTTGATGCTGTTTGTTCACTTACAGTTGTTTGTACACTTAAAGCATTTAGGTTCACTTGCAGTTTTGAAAACTGGCATGGAGGCTTTAAAACAACACTAGGAACTATTTATGGGGAGAATCACAGGCAGCGGCAGATTTAAACAGTCCCCTCTGCCCCAGTTCTTTCTCTTTATTAGGGTAGGGCTGGTCCAAGGCATTTTTCTGCCTGCAGGAGAGCAGCAAATACCCCCCTGCCCTGGATCAAGGACACATTCCTCCTGGGCAGCCAACTTATTTGGCATCTGAGGCAGGAAATTGCACAAGCACCTTACATCCTGGCAGTTAAAGGACAACCATTAAATAATTAACCATTCCCCATCCTTTTGTAGCACCCACAATGAGCTTGCTGAGGCAGCCGCTTCACTTTGACTAATGGCAGGCCTGGCCTTGCATGACAGAAATACAAGAAGAGAAATCCCATCTTTCCCTTGGAATGTCCTAAGCTACCATCAATACATTTGTTTACATTTCTGCATTCAGGACCCTGTTGCCCTTAGTCCTGCATCAAAAGTTGACTTTGATTCATTTCTACGTTGCTAAATACTGCTCTGAAAGTAAGCCTTGGAAAAGTTGTTAGACTGACTTGTTTATCTTCCTCCACAATGATAGCATCTTTGTTTTCTTCTGACACAATCACACAAGTTGTGAATGATGACTTGAGCATGTTGATCACCATGTCATTGGAAAGAACATCTAGCTTCTTCACTTGGTCTCCTGTCACATTGGTAGAGCCAGCAATTCCGTAACTGAACCAAGGGAAAAAGATCATCAGAAGATCCATTATCACTGAAGAAGTAATTTCGTTTGTATGTGTGATGGTTTTAAACAAGCCAGGCATAAGTCTCAGGCACTCTTGTATCAAATCTGAATATCTCACACAGACCCCCAGGACCTTGGTTCCAATGTGCCTTACTATAATCCACTAGAACACACAATCTCTTTCAATAAACAATTGCAGTTTGATAATTAGTAAAGTGGTCAGAAAATACGTATTTACACACAGATATGCATGCTTCTCCCTGATCCCTTCACCCACTGGTGTGACCACCAAGGGGAGTTTAGAAACGTAGAATTACTATTTTAATCAACTACTGCTAATTGTGGTTCATTTAAACAATACTGCTTCATCACCTATGGTTTGAAATTGGCTCGTATTAAACAAATCATAGCTAAGATTATTGAGATTGTTAGGCTGGGTATTCTAAACCAGATATAAAAACTCCCAAACTCCTACTTATGGTGATACCAGAGAAGAAGGGAAGCAATGAAGTCATTCTCATCACACAAAGCTATGGTTTAGAGGGATGTCTGACTGGTTCTTCCCATATTTATTTCTTTATAGACTTATTGTCTGCTGCATCAGTCCAAAGGCCCTCTGAGCAGATCACAATTCATAAAACACAGTGACAATAAAAACAGCAATTAAAAATAAAGTATACACATAACAATAAGACAAAGCAATACACAGGTGAGGGCCTGTTAATTTAAAATGATCCATGTTAATACAACTTAAAACTTACCCAAATAAAATCAGTTATTGAAATGCCTAGAAAATAAAACTGTTTTTGTCTGGCACCAAAAAGATTGTAGTTAGGGCGCTGGGTGAACTGCTTTTGGGAGGCTGTTCCACAAGTGGGGTGCAACTACTGAAAAGCACCCCCCATTAGCCATCCTCCTTACTTCCTTAGAAGATGGATCTTTCAGAAGGGCCTCTGGAATAGATCTTAGCGGCCAGATAGGTACATATAGGAACAGGTGGATCAGGTACCTAGGTCCGAAGCCATTTAGAACTTTATATATTAAAACAAGCACCTTGAATTGGGACCGACACTCAACTGGTAACCAATGAAGATGGTAAAGTATTGGTGTCACATGGGCGCTCAATCCTGCTTATACTAGCAGCTGCGCCACCCTGTCCTGTACCAGTCTTCAAGGGCAGCCCCATGTAGATTGTGTTATAGTAGTCCAGACAAGAGGTTACCAGAGCGTAGGTGACTGTGGCGAAGTTCTGGCTGTCCAGGTAGGGCCATAGTTCATAAATGAATTGCAGCTGAAAGACACTCCTGGCCACCAAGTCTACTGGAGACTCAAGTTATGGTCTTGAGGCCAGGAGCTACCCCCAGCTGCAGACCCTGTTCTTCAGGGGGAGTGCAACCCCATCCAGGACTGGTGAAATGCGCACCCTCTGGGTAGATGGACCATTCGCCAACAGCATCTCTGTGTTATCTGGACTGAACTTCAATTTATTGGCCCATATCCAGTCCATTATAGAGACCAGGCAGTAATTCAAAACAGACGCTGCCACCCCAGGGTTAGATGAAAAGGAGATGTAAAGTGGGGTGTCATCAGCATACCAGTGACACCTAGCCCCCCACCTCCAAATGACCTCTCCCAGAGATTCACATGTACGTTGCATAGGGAACAGTACAGAGCCCTGAGGCACCTTGGAGCACAATCACCATGGTGCAGAGAACTGTCCCCCAGCACCACCATCTGAACACAGTTGGCCAGGTAGGAGTGGAACCACTTTAGTATAGTGTCCCCAACTCCCAACCCAGCCAACCTGTCCAGAAAGAAGGACAAGAAGAACTTAACCTTTCACAACTGTCAGGAAAGAAACTCTGACCTTTATCATTTTCCAATTTCATTTATGTCTTAAAAGCTACCACCAAATTTGCTTTCTTAAAATCTTCCCAAAACTCCCTAAACTTTCTCACAACTGCAAGAATATCTATAATAATAAAAGAGGATGTGTGTCTTTCTAATCATCAGTGCCATAGTGCCAAAATGAGCCATACAGCCAGTGTGGCGTAGTGGTTAAGAGCATGAGACTGGAACTCAGGCAATCCGGGTTCGAGTCCCCACTCGGCCATGGAGCCAACTGGGTGACTTTGGGCCAGTCACAGACTCTCAGCCCAACCTACCTCACAGGGTGGTTGTTGTGGGGATAAGATGGAGGAGGAGAATGATGTCAGCTGCCTTGAGCCCTTTGTAGGAAAAAGGCAGGATATAAATGGACAAATAAAAAAAATAAAAAATTGTCATACCTTGACACCTGAAACTTGGCATGCATACTAAGAGGCCCTGTAGGTGTGTACTTTGTGTTATTTGGGGAGTGTAATATATTAATACTTGTACTTAATTAAAACATGCCCATGTGGTCAAAACCTGCAGCAATATCTTACATACTGCTTTGGTAATAATTCAGAAAATTTTCTTTAGCTTTGTAGTCTATGCAGGGTGAGGGACAATTAAATGCCTTTTCCTCTTACTTGCTGTGGAGCAGCCCTGCTTAGAGAAAGAGGGTGGACAGACCCTTCACTGTGCAGGTTATAGGGGTACAAAATGGCAGATACCATGCTTAGAGGTGGCAGGAGCACCTAGACAAGGTGGATATAGTACTTCTAGCTCTCTGACAGCTGCATCCTTTTGCTTGAAGGCTTCAGTGTATCAAATCAAGGGTTATTCCAACCCGGGAAACAATACAGAGAACACCTTTTCACTGCAATTAATAGTTCTATAACACTTTAAAATAGCTGTGAAGGTGGACAATAGTGTTATTTTCATTAACTGAAAATATCCCTTGAAGCAACAAATCATATGCCAGGATCATTAGCCCCTTGAATTAACTGTTCCAGATGTGATCTAAACAGGTAAATGCTTTTCAGTTTCACTGATTTTAATCAACAAGTACTGAGCACAGGGTTAGATTGCCAAATGAAATGAATGAAACTTAGAATTACCCAACATAGATTTTTCAAAGAGGGATAAATCAGTTTTTTTGTCCTTTCAAGGCTGAATTTAGCAGAAAAATGCATGCACTACTGAAGCAGACTCACGTACTGCATGAAGTGTACCTTGAACTGTAAATACCACCTTGCTCTAAGGCAACACTGCTGTCCAAATAATTATCCAAAAGGACAAAGGCTAAACTTGCAACCAAAGTTCTTAAAAAGTTCTGTTTATGCAACTTTTTTACACTGCCCATTTAAGATTCTTTAATTTCCTTGTCTTCTTCTTAATCAATTCATCCCTAAATAAGACCACTGTATTCTTGGTCAGCCTACCTTCTAAATGTGTTGGACTAAAACCCCCATGTACATCAGCCAGCACAGACAATTGCAGACAATGGGCAGGCTGACTGGGGATTATGGGAACTACAAACTGTGCTGGCTCATCTTGCAATGGGAAGAGGCAATCATATGATCAAGAGTCGGAAGAAAGTATGTCCCAATAGATGTACAGATGAAATGGCGACATCCTTCTTTGTGTGCTAAAGATGGAATGTGCAAATGGTTCCACTTGCATCATAACTTGTTCCTGAGAAAGTAAACACAATTATATGGTATTTGTTCCTCTGTGTGAGAGGCATTACAAGGGTAGTGGTGGTTTTAGAAAACAAGGATGGCAGAAGCTCACCTTTATCCAGTGTCCTAAAAGACTCAAAGAAAATAATATTCTGTCAAAACCTTTCTTTCAAAAGGGTTGTGGGGGCGATAATAAGCTCCTTCTTCTGTAGGACTTTAAAATGCCATAAACCAACCTCTCTATCCTGTTTTACCTGAAATGTTTCCAGGATAGGACCATCAAGGGAAATCTGGATAAGATCAAGAAAGCAGCCCTTTACTTCAGTGTTCCTTCTCCATCTGTGTTGGAGAATACTGCGACTCCTAATTGGCTAGGGCACGCTGAAAGATGTATTCTAATGAAGTTAGGGAAGGCTGCTATATTTGCCCAGGAGTAAGCAAGACGCAGTGCCAGGTGGACGAAGCACCTGGAAGATCTGTCCCCACTCAGCCATGATGCTCACTGTGTGACTTTGGGCCAGTCACTCACTCACTCTCAAGCCAACCTCCTTTACAGGGTTGTTGTTGTGAAGATAAAATGCAGCTATGTGAGCTTCCTTTCATTCCTCACACAATGAAAAAGATGACACATAAATACAGTGCAGTAGTAGTAGTAGTAATAATAAGCCATGTTTGACATAGTAAGGTTTATTGTGGGGCCCAACTGTTGTGCTATCACCTGCGCATCCATCTAATGGTGTAGAGTCTCTTGTGCACATTTTTACTACAGAAAGAGAAGCTAAGCAAGCAAGCAGCAGCAGCCAGTGCTTTGCTTACTCACCCTCACTTTTTGGCTAGCACAGTAGGAAAGAGCGGGGCCATCTTGCTGTCAAGGAGGAGAGCACTGATAATGAGAGGATACGCAGAACCCCAGTAAGATCAAGTAGGCAAACAGGAGCAATCACTGCACCCACTTGCTTACTGTGATCCTAGCCCCTTGATCTTTGAGCAACCCTGCAACCCCAGTCCCCACTGCTGGGCCCACTCACCGCAAAAGAGTGCAGATCAAGTAACACTTTTTAAAATGCAACCTAGAGCAGCCTTCCAGGTGTCTTGTGGCACAACTCCCCCTTGGTGTGGCCATTTAGAAGTAGCTGGTTAGGGAGAAGGAGAGCTGCAGAGCAATGCAACCAGGTTGGGAAGGCTGACAAGAGGGTCAGGAGAGCAGCTCTTGCTTTCTGTGGGCATAATCCTAAACCTGCACTGACAGGTTTCTCTAGTTCTCACATCATTGCTGGGTAGCCCTGTTGTATCACCCAGAGAAATAGAGAGCAGATAAAGAAGCAGCAGAGGAACAACCTCTTCATCTTCCTGCTCAGTTGCTCCAGCTGCTCCATTATATCGGTGGCTCTCAGTAGGAGGAGGCAGGTGCTGCTCTGCGCTAATCCTCCCCCACCGTCTAACAGGAACCAACCGGGAAGTAGAAGGCGTTTTTGTGCATGGCACGGAGCAGCACCACTGAGATGCCACGGTGCGGTTTCCCCACCGCCACTCCCCCATTATCCCCAGCCATCGTGGACGATGGTCGGGGATAGTTGTAGTCCAAACACCGCTGGGGTACCAAGGTCTGGGCAATACACCGTGCTCGGCTCTCGCAAGCTGTCCGATGGGGATGCTGCTGACCCCCCAATGCAGGCGGCCGCTGCGTCGGGGCTGGCGTGAGCTCTACGCCTGGCGAAGGGCCGAGAGGTCGCACACCAGCACGGCCCATTTGCTTCCTGCGGCCGAAGTGGTCGTGTGAACTCACAGGTTAGCGATGCCGGCCTTGCGCACGGCCGTGGAGATCGCCTTGATGGCCGTGCAGAGCGCGTTCAACAGCTGGGTGAGCTCGCCGGTGCTTCGCACTCTCCTGCCTTCTTCCATCACGAAGCGGGTAAGGGTGGTCACATTGGTGTCAAAGGTGGAGCGGTCGGTCATGATGAGGATGCCAAGAGCGGGAGCGCTGCTGCTGCTGCTGCTGCTGCTGCAAGGGAAGGAAGTAGTGGCCGCTGGCGCTGCGCTCTCTACAAGGGGCGATCGGCGGGGGGCGGCAGCGCCGATCCCTCCCGGCCCAGGCTTCTTTTAGAGCGCGGAACTGGTGGCCGCGCTTGGGGCAAGCTAAGGATAGGCGGAGAGGGACCGTGCCTCCTCCTCCTCCGTTGCCCAATCCTGAGAGCGGGCGGGGGGCAGCCCAATCCCGCCTTGCAGCTTGGACGCGTGCCGCACGACCGCTGGCGGGAGATTGGAGCAGGGAGGCAGGAACCCGTTGGGCACGGCCCAATCAGGAGGCGGCGGGCCGAAGGGGCGGGGAAAGTGGCCACGCAGGAACGCGCAGAGGGGCGGTATTCCCAGTTATTTCTCGGACTGGTCTTGCACGCAGTGCGTACACGACGACTCAGGTTCAAACAGTGGAGCAGCTAAAGCTGGGGTGTCTGGGACCAAAATTCAGCTCCTCTCCCAAGCAGTGGAAGCCTCAGAACTGGGACTCGAAGATGTGTGGCAGAGGTCCCTAGGGCTGCTGATGGTCACCACAGCATCCTATTTCCCTCTTTGCGAGGTGAACAACTCCCCCTCTTTTGCGAGGCAGTGGGAAAGAGGATACTTGGAAGAATGGCTAGGAGGGAATTCTGCAGGAAACTCTGAAGAGCTACTGTGGGTCATTGTTGACAAAGTGGACTATATGGAACTGTACTCAGAAAAGCAATTCTTACCATCCCACCTAACTGCCTTGCCATAAACAGATCACAAAGGGTGCCTCAGTGTCTGCTGGTGAAGACCAGATGACCCCACTCCATTACACTGTCAAAGTGTAATCTCTGTGTTTTATAGGCTTGCTAAAGTGGCTCCCTAACTCTGTAAGTTCACACATGTAACCTTTTTGTTTACGCAACTTGGCCAGCCTGTTCAAGGTAACTTCAGTTTAGAAGGCTTGTCAAAAGGCACCTAATTAGAGTGAAATGTAACTTTTCTTTATGGTGCTGTGACGTGTATCCAATCACTTTCCTATCCAGATCAAAGTATCCAATCACCTTCCTGTGTATTGTATTCACTCCCCTTTTGTGTATTCTGTATAACCCTAAGGAAATTAACATGAGGTGTTCCTATTTTAGGCACCCATGGGTCCATGCATTCAATTGTAAATAAACCTGTTTGCCCTGACAAGAAACTGATTCCGAGCCTATAGTGCAGCCTATATTGCGGATCGGTGTGACAGAACAAAAGACTGACTCAGTATTAAGGCCCTTTCTCTGCTCTAATGCCCTACAATCACATATGTTGTACCTGGCGAACTCACAAGTTGCAATGGAATTTTAAATACATTTCCATCAAGTTGTTTTACATGGCAAACAATGTCCATGTGTGCAAAAATATCTAATATCTAAAGGAACGCTTGCGCCCATATATGCACTCCCGCCCCTTGAAATCAGCAACGGATGCTCTTCTCCAGGAACCCTCTGTGAATGATATTAGGAGGGTGAGTACCTGGAGGAGGGCTTTCTCGGCTGTGGTGCCCCATCTATGGAATGCGCTCCCCAGGGAGGTCCACCTGGCGCCGTCATTTGTTTTTCGGCGCCAGGCTAAGACCTTTTTATTTAAAACTTATTTTAATTGCTAAATTATTGTATTAATTAGGATTTTAAAAGTTTTAGCCGAGAATGCACCGGAGGTTTTTAAATGTTTTTTTATTCTTTTAATTGTTTTATTATTATTATTGTATGTTTTATGTATTCTTTGTGAGCCGCCCCGAGGCTTTGTTGCGATGGGGGCAGCATAGAAATGTTTTAAATAAATACATACATACATACATACATACATACATAAAAAGGACATTTGGCAAAATCTTCTAGACTAAAAGCACTATTCCTAAGGAAGTAGGAAGGAAATAGAATATCAAAAGATTCAAACTTCATCTAAACTATGTCACACTGAAATCTGCAATTAAGGCTCTAATGGTCAGTTTCTTACGAGGGCAATTAGGTTTATTTACAATTAAACACATGGATCCATGGGTGCCCAAGACAGGAACACCCAATCTACTTCCCGTAGGGTTATATAGAATGCACAAAAGGGGAGTGAATACAATACACAGGAAGGTGATTGGATACTTTGATATGGATAGGAAAGTGATTAGATACACATCACAGCATGATAAAGAAAAGGTTACACTTTAATTAGATACTGTTGACAGGCCTTCTAAATTAAAGTTACCTTGAACAGGCTGGTCAAGTTAAGTAAATACAAAGGGTTAGGGAGGCACTCTGGCAAGCCTATAATATACAGAGATTGCACATTGACAGTTACCCACTAATGGAGTGTGGTCATCTGGTCTTCACCACCAGAAACTAAGGCATCTTTTGATGCATTTATGGTAAGGCAGAGGGGCGGATTTGGCAAGATTTGTTTTTCTGAGTACAACTAATAGCTCATGATATATGCTATTATTGGTTATTGATATATTTAAAATAAGAACCAGTATTGTATGTTTACATATTTGATTCCTGTTTGTTCCTCATGAATGCAGGCAGCAAATGCCATGGGTGCAGTTTTCAAATTGGACCAGCTTCTATTTAAGCAGAAACAGTTCAGGGGTACAGTCAAAAAGATCAGTTAGTCAGATGTCATTTGCTTTTGGACACCTAAAAGGAAAAAAAAAATATGGAAGGAATGGTGAAAAATTTTTAGTAAGAAGAAAGGGAAGCACACCAAGAAAGTGCTGGAATTCCTAGTTATGAGCCCTTTTCTATTTACACAGTGTAAATAAAGAAAAATGGTTTTACAACTAGAAAGGCCAATAAACTCCATGCAACATTGCCGAGGATCTTGCCCCATTTATTGTGCTTAGGACACGGTAGCAACAGCCCAGGCTGCTGGGTGCACTTGCTGCTAAGCTAGGACTGGAATATAAAACCGCTGGTTTGTACAACAGTATAAGGTGCCAAAACCACTAATTCACTAACTTTTTCCACTAACTAAACTGGTGTGAGTATATATTCAATCTGAATTGTAAACAGTTGCAAATGCTGCCGAAGTGTTAATTGCTTTTTAAAGAAAAATCTGACATAAGTGCAAGTCCCTTATTTGCACCTCTCTTAATATTAGACAGCAGGGAGTCCATGCAGAGCTCCTAACATGTTAAATGAATGTGTGAGATAGCTGGGGTCCATGATACTGTGGGCCTCCAATTCTGCTGTGCCCCCATTGCACATCCCAGCAGTCATGTATTTGGGGGCTGCTTGAAGGGCTTGTATGGGCGTACTTTAAAATGCTTGCAGAACCCCTTCACACATGCACCAAGCACATGGCAAGCAGAAGGAGGCAGAGGAATGCTTGATTTAACATAGCTTTTTAACTCTCTTTACATATTCATTTACCATGTAAAATGGTTTCAATGAACTACTTTAATATGAGGTTACAGTTTGGTAACACATGCTTCTATTATATTATTGTTGATAGTGATGGATGTAGTAGTTGTTAATAAATAATAATACTTTAACAATATCAAAGCATTGATTTTTTCTGATTATATTTTGTGATCATTATTTTTACAACAGTTGTGATTAGCAAATCAACTTATAATCTTATTTTTTATTCTCACAAGTTTGTGAAGAGTTTGCTTTCATTTTACAAATAGGAAAACTGAGCTTGAAAGACTTGCTGAAGGCTGGAGTGAATCCATAGCTGAACTGGGTGTTCATGAATTCTTCTGTGAGGTGAGCAAGCAAAAACTTTATTGAAAATATGATCTTGGTACACAAGGTCAGTTTTCCTTAATGAAATATTGCTTGACAAGTTGTTCTTCATAGTGTAGTACCATATACAAGGAAGTTCAGTATTAAGATTATACCAGCCACATGGGGTCAGGCACATGCAAAGAGTAAAACATTATTGATTAATCCATTCCATTGCAAATGAAGTGGGCTTGGAGAGCAATGATAATGCACATTGAAATTAGTCTGAATAACTATATCCCATTTTGAAGAGATGACTGCCCATGCCTGGCTACTGTGATATCCTGAGAGCTGGAAAATTAAGCTATCTACGCCATGACTCCTGACTGCATATTCGATCAGACAGAGAAATATGCAAAGTGTTTGAATAAACTGTGTGTTTTTCAGTTGTATGTTGTTTATATCACCATGTCATAAGCAGAAGACAAATGCAGGGAATGAATGTTACTGTGTAAGCACTTCTGGTGTGGGTTTGCTTTGGGCAGATGAATAAATAATTGGTTGAATCAACAGTGAGAAAGCTCCTTGCCTGGGCACCATTTGTTTTAGGCTTCTAGACCTTTTCTTAAGTCTGGAATATGTGAACTCATAAAATACAAAAGAAACATGTGGCAGTACATTTCCTTCACCTCTAGGATGACCCCTGTATCTTACTTAAAAGTCCTTTATTGGAAAGGCAGTTGGAAAACAAATTTCTCTTCAAAAACATTTTCTTACATGAGGGAACTCCCAGCATTTCTGACCATTGACCATGCTGGCAGAGAGACTAAAAGAACAAAATATCTGGACATTTCTATTCTTACTCTTACTCTGCCAGAAGCACCATCTAGCCTTAGTCTAATTTAAGAAAAAGCATAATAAGAAGAGTTACCATCTGCACAGCAGACAGTAGGCTTATAGGACATTGTCTTCCTTGCTATAGCGAGATGTATTGTATTCTGTTTAAATTATAGTCATTATTTATGGATGTTCATTTATACATGTAAAAAAGCATATGCAGCTTTTATGTACATATGTGTAAGTTGCTACCTCTGAGTAGCTACAAACTTCCTTATATGTTGGCATTAAGAGAAAGGCTTCCCAGTTTGAAGATGTGGTTTTTCATCACAATTCCATCACTAGCAGTTTTTATTGAGGACCACTAGTTCGTCTTATATATGTTGTCTGCAAATAATTATGGATTTGGGACCTTCACCTAATTAAAGACATCTTATAGCACAATCCTAGAAACATTTTCTCGGAAGTAAGAGTGCAGTGTAGTAATGAGAGTGTTGAGCTAGGGCTTGCAAGAACTTGGTTCGCTAGCCTACTTAGGTGACTTTGGGCCAGTCAGCCTAGCCTGCCTTGCCGGCTTTTTG